AATGGTGCTGCATGCCTCTGCCACGTACACAAATTTGTCTGATTATTAAAGTGAGGATGAGAAGTGTACGCCAGGAAATGCTGCTGTTCCTCGAAATGGAAAGGGAAAGCCAGAACTTGATTAATTTTCTGTGGTGTCGCCGTTAAGACTGAACAGGTTAAGTCTGTCCTGCTATGGTCCACGTATTTACAAATATGTCATAAAACGGGACAGGTCTCCACCCTCGTACTTATAAAGAAAACAGGTATAATTTGAGCGGACGAATAAAATTTGATGGGTGAGAATGACAGGGAAATATTTGCATATAATTTAAAACATGTTATGGGCGGGATAAGATATTTATGGGACAATCGGTGTAATTTATTTGAAAATGAACATCATCAAGAGAATGTAGGTACGTGCATAATTATAAATTAAGGTTCCACCAATTTTTGGAGGCAGGCATAAATCCTGGTGATAAAGGAGTCAATATCGGTATTTATCAAACTAATGGATGATATTTGATGGCATAAAGCACTTTATCAAACTCCATCAAATTCCTTCCTGCTCAAATCATTTGTTACAATAATGAAAACAGGGTGGTGGTCCTGCATTCAAATGAGGCTCGCTTTATAAATAGCTTTCACTCATGGAAAGCGATACGCTTTCTGAGTCTGAACTAAAGTCAGGTATCAAATTATTCACGAACGTCATCATTATGCAAATTTTCAAATTTTTTTTACATAAGAATCTATTTGATAATTTTAGCGAAACTTTTTCCCAATTAGAATTTCATTTCTCCACTTTTCTATTCCAGACAATTGAGATTACTTAAACCATGCTTGGCGTCGCAAGGTGAAAACAATGCTTGCATTTATCCACGTACATATTACACACACGACACATTTGTCATGTTTCTGTGATGCCTGGTTGGCGGCGGCTGTGGTAGAAACCTGTAATTATTTAACAATCTGAAAACAGTATTTGTGAGCCTGATGTTGCCTTGTTATTTCCTTCCTCTCGCCACAAACCAATTTTACCATACGGTATTTACAATGCAACAAACCAACCAACCACCCACCTACATGTGTACATACACACATCGCTCTACGAACCATGCATCACTGAACTTGCACAAAGTCAAAACAAAAGCAACAAGGTTCTCGATTCCTTCTCCATTATGCAACGCTCCTCAGCCACATATTTCCTTCATGGAAGGAAACGAGATTATAAGTTCCCTAGCATTTAATGAAAGTGCAATAACGCAGCAGCAGCAATAATCACTTGGAGGATTTTATTCTCTCCGTGAGACCACTAATAAATTGGGTAGATACAATTATGTAAGGCATGCTCCTGGCTGTACATATTTTTGTGACATGTACGCATGCATTTTTTTGGGTAGGAATGAAAGAAATTTTTTAAGCCAAGAAAGCAACAAATGTCCCAAACATTATCATGTCATGTGGACATGTCACAAAATAAAGGGGTCAACCTGCTCCAGTCTGGATTGTCCAGTGTCTACTTACGACATACCATAAAACGGCATTGCCGACATATTTTCGACGAAAGAAATTGTGTATGGCAACGCAATGCTCACATTTGGCTGTATACCCATCTCACAATGCGATGCTGTGAAGTGTAACGCTCCGATTTGGTTGAAATTTTGAAATTATGTGGTCAATATAAAGTTTCTTGAAGCAGTTTGTGCGATGGTCAGGATTTACCAAAATATTTGACGAGAAAGTTTAAAAACGCGCGATTTGTATTAAGCAGAGGACGCAAACTCAACTTTCACCCGTGCTAAAAATTGCATATCTTTCAACTTTGTCCTCAAATATTTTGGCAAATCCTGACCATCCTGGTTGTATTGACATGGGTCACATAATTTCAAAATTTCAACCAAATCGGAGGGTTACACTTCATACCATCGTATTGTCAGTCGTTTTTACTTTCTCCCAACTGAAGTGCAGGCAGGCTTGGAAAATGTGGGTGGCCGCCAATAATACATAAGTTACATAGCTATCGGGTTTTTGGCTGGTTGGGACGTATTTTCTTTATTGTATCGGGTTCACATTTCACCAACAAAACTTGGAGTAATTCGAGTTTGAGTTCAAAGCACAAATTGGCCGTAAAGACAGCCGGTATGGATGGAGTGCATCTATATGAAGCCGTGTGTACATAGAAGTTTAGAAAAGGCGTGTCATGTCTGATCGATTTATGTAAAATGTTTTAATGTAGTGTGACTGAGTGGATGGCTGTCCTTCCTTTTTCCTTTTCTTTTCTTGTCTGTAGGTTGTTCTTGCAGGGCTGATTTTTTACTACGTATAGTTCCAGTTCGTGTATGTGTGTGCAGAAAATGGATGCGTGTAAGGTTTCATACCAGCAAAGCCGCCTTTATAAGAAGGAAGATTGTATCAGCTCTTTGTTTGCCGTATTCTTTATGGCATTGAGCACTTTAATTGATGGGCATGAAGGGGTAATTAACAGTATTGATTTATTTTGACTAGACGGATGCAAGTTTAAAATTAAAATGGACGGAATTAAAGGATTACGTACAAATGTGGGGTTTAGTTTTGATAAAATTACAGAGTTGTAGCGTGTCTGCCAAATTGGCCGTATTGCACAATGTTATAAATCATACTTTTTGTGATGCAACTTTTTTATGGGCATATGCAATGCGACAAAGTTGAAGTTTTCGCCTTCAGTTTTTCTGCTAACAAGAAATTCAACAATTTTGGATTTAGATAATTCTTTCAAAAACTATTCTGTTATGAAACAAATATTATTTCTTAATCTGATTTTTTTGTCCACAGCAAACTTTTTCTTTTTAAAATTGCGGCACAAAGTTGCACCAGCAATTTTACTGTCTAGTGCTTGGAGTCAATAACTGCTTCTAAATAGGTCAAGAATAAACTACCACAAATTTTGAAAGGAGCCGGGAACACAATGATCGTTAGAGCCCCCACAATGGCTCGCCTAACTGAATTATTTCGACAATTACTCCTACTCGTACCTAAACTAAACCAATTTGGTTTAATAGTCGAAAGTGGGAGAAAAGATACGAGAGAACAATTGTAGCGAGAGATGCATGATGGGAGTCCATTCTTCTCCGTAACTAATTCATGAATGAACCCGAAACGGGGGACATTTTAAGCTGACCTTGCTGCTTTCTCTCTCTCCGGCGTCCCACGTCCCAAACCTGGAGCAGTTTGGTATTCAAATTATACTTTGAATTTCATGAGGAAAAAGGGCAAAATCCAGCGAAATGAAGTATGCATGGATGTCTATGTATGTCGCAGTGGAGGAGTAAATTTCTGGCAGAAAGGGCACCCGTACAATTAGTATGCTGCAGGCAAAGCTGGCTCACTTATCACCACCGTGTCACAATTACGTCACGTGGATCAAACTAAAATGCAGTTACATAATACTTAAGAATGTCTCAAATTCCAAGTAAGAATAAAATTTAAACATAGTCGTGATTCGTGTGTACGTAATAAATCATTCCAATCTAAAGAAAAAATAATTATTAAGTATTCGTGTAACCAGAAACTTTGCCACTTAATTTAAGATTTGTTCCCTTGTGTGCAGCGAACCTCAAGTGCTACGTGGGAGGATATTCTAGTTCATTTTTTTGCGACATCACCACCACCACCAAAAACCACTACCTTTTGATACTATGAGTTTTCCCCTTATGCATTCAAACAGAAAAATCTAGTGTACTTATTTCCAGATTTTTCTTCTGTTTCTGACAGCTGCTGTTGAATGCGTTTGAAACGGTTCCAGCTTTTCTTGGTGGGGCGTGGGTTGAAGATATTGCACGTACGTTATGTGTGCATGTATTTGAGTCTGTGTGACTCTATATGCATGATTGCCAAAGAAGGGACCGCCAGTGTTTTACTTACTTTCTCCCAGTGAAAGTCTCTGGTCGCCGTCTTGTCTGGGTTTAAAATCTGCACTTGTTCCTTTGTGGGTCACGCCGTGTCAACTCGACTCAAAAATAAAGGTTGGCACCACTGGAGGCAAGATTTGGCTAGGTCTGCATGTTCATATGTAGTTGAAACATGCAAAGTTTGAGCCAAGTCTGGTGCTCTTTTGAAGAGATTTAAATGACATATTTCTTTGGTTTTCATTTATTTATATAAGGTCAGAGAAGTGGAAAGAGTGACTGTGGTCAGGTCGAGTCAAAGATTTGGCAGGAGAAATAAACTTAATGGTAAAATGTTCCCATTAATTTTAATAATCTGCAGATGAGAGAAAGCGATTACTAAGAAAACTTTTATGAAAACTCGTACTTCTTGCATGAGTACTTTTTCGCACTGCGGAATTTGAAACATGAGTCGGAATTGTGCATAATATTTTATCATTATTACATGATAATGATGTAATTGGATAGCGTTGAATGTAGGATTGAGAGGAGTGCCATGCATCAGTTCCATGTAATTAATATGTATATGTTTCAGTACATTCGGTTGGTAGGAAATTTGAGAAAGGGGAAATTGAGATTTGGAATGAAGTTGGCGTAATATGTAACGCTTGTATATCATCTAAATCTGTATAAAAATGGAGGTCTTCCAGTGTATGTTCTCAGATTTTGGGCAAACGAGGGACGATCGATCACATATTTAATTAATATAAAATTTGCAAATGACAAAATATGTTAATGCGCATGTTTAGCAAAGATATTTGCGTAAGTGAAAGTGTAAATTTCAAGTGCAAATTTCATATTAATTAAATTTGTGATCGATTGACACTAATTTTCTCAAAATCGGAGAGTATACGCTGAGAGACCTCCTACGTATGCAATGCACGATTTGGTTTTCACAGTACTTTGCTACCTGATTATTTTAAGCTTATCCGCCCCGACAAATGCACGCATATTTATTTTTGCCCTATCATTTACCCCATTTCTCATTAGATTTGTTCACCGATCGACATTAATTTCAGAAAATTGTAGAGACACGAACACAAAACAAATTAGCGAAAAAAGAAAAGAAAAGCATAATTATCTTTGTCTTTCATACCTGCACCACATTTTCTTGATTTTGCTAACAATTCATCTTGTTCACGACGGCAACTTTTATCGCTCACTCACTCCCCACCAACGACGCCAAAGTGCTGCACAATATATCTTCTTTTAGACTTTAGAAGAAACCAGAGGTCTATCTATCTCTTTTCACAAGTTATTAAATAACTGTCCAAAAATTGTGTTGCTAGATTTTACTTTTTTGCCAACTACACTTATTACTACACAAATCCTGCACATTCCGCTCAAAGCTTGTCTAGTTCTATCATCTTTTCCTTGTCCGGCACCGTGTCTGGCTGGATTCTTTATGAGATGGGAATTGTTGGCACTTTTCACTTTGTAAATCCGTGGTAAAATATTACACCGTCCTAATATCACGCCACACACAAGGCGAAATTCCTTGAATGACTTTCTCTCTCTCCACTTGCTCTGTCTTTTTTTTATTTCGTCCAAAAGCTGAATGGTTGGTTAAGAAAGACGAGATTTTTCTGGCGAGGAGATGTGATGTGAATCAGATTGTTGGACACAATAGCAATCTTTCAGCTCATTGATACCAACCATACTTATCGGGGAGGAGTTGAAGTTGGCTTATTTTCATTCTTCGATCTCAACTGTACAGCAGCACGAGGATGATGCGGGCGACGTATCTACGAGGAACTGGGCGGCGAGGAAGGAGACGAAGATCTCATCCTTCTGGTTAGAAGGACTTTTGAGAATTGAGTGAGACTGTCACTTAAATCTTGATCCGGGCAAGATCTTTCTATCTTTGTATCGAGTGGGAAAAGTCATGACAAGAAAAGTACTCTTGTCAAGAATCCAGATTCTTCTCGGATGAGATCACGACAAGATGGAGAAAACGGGAGAAGAAAATGAATGGGTCCCCCTGCAGAAACAGAGCAGCCAAGCTGTATGGCCTGATTTCTTTGCATTAATAGAAAAAAGGGGGTTTTAATTGGTTGTTAGTTTAATGGGTATGAAAATGGTGGTTATTAAAGCTTTGTATAAATGCGTTAATTGTTTGTTAAGATGCCAGAATAATAATTTCGCCTATTAAAAAAATTTCTGGTTTCGCCTAGTATGTGGGGTTTCTCTTCACGATTTTAGCGTTTTGAAAATTTTGCTAAATGTAGACGAAACCTTGTAACAAAATTTCCCAGGATTTGTAAAAAAAATAATTTTAACGATTATTTTAAGAGTTCAAATTTTACATTTAAACTTTGCCTGGGAAGTTAGTAGATCACTTGCATAAAGTGAAAGTCTTTAAACAAAATCTGCCCCTCCAAAATTCTTATATTTCTTATCCTATCCCAGACACACTTCTCAGGCCGCGTAACCCGTTTCATTAAGACAAGTCTTGACCCTGACTGCACTTCATTAACCACAGGATTACAAAAAAGCCTACAAAACGTAATCCGCTCAAAGATCTGACTTACATAATCCCCCAAAAAAGTCAACGAATCCCTACAAATGACTTACCATTCATACCAACCAAACTGTCAAAAATCGTGAATTGAAAGGTGTCCTATTCTGATCTTGGCCCATTCTTTATGTAAAACTGACTAACTCACGTGGAACCCATGGAAAACGATGAGCAATCCTCACCAGCTCCCCGCATTTACTGCACCCCTCCTGCAAAATAATACCGCTCCCTATGCGGACAGAATACCCAATTGAATTCAATGCGTCCAGCGAATGCATGCAATATCAATAAAAAGAAATCTACTTCCTCCCACCCACCACGCGGGGTGGTGGAATACTTAGTCGAGTTGGTTGGTAGTTATTCAGCCATTGTACAGCGTGGGAACTTTGTGAGAAAATGGAAAAGCTTTCACTTCACTTACTTACTTCGCTTGAGAGGAGAGACGAGTTGGGTGGTTTGGAGAAAGTTGTTGGTGAGACGCTGGAATCGGACTGACAACAAGTTGTAGGTTTGGTCGTAAGTAGCTATCCGTTTCCCTTCTGTTCCCCATCACGGTACCCTGGCTGGATGGCGTGAGGTATGCGTTTTCTTTCTCTCTCTGTGTCGACAGGCCTGGGTGCGAGTGGGGTCCGATATGGGTGCGATATTGGACTCGATACCACGGATGGATGGGAAAGCGGTATGTCATGCAAGGTTTTTACTCCTTCTGCTTTCACTTATTATTTCACTTCACCTCTGTCGGTTCGACTCGAGAGAACGTCAGTCTTACTTATTTAAGGAGATTGCCCACTAATTATCCGCTGAAGAGGGAAGGGTTGGGCTGTACTGGAGAGAGAATGGAGTAATTTATACAGGCATGAAATTAGCCACTCAGGAGACAGACACATGTTCTGGATAGAAAGAATTTTAGTGTAGGAAACTTTGGGAACTTTATAATTTCGAATTTGTGTGTATTTTCTAGCGTTTATACGATAAAAGAGTCGGGATTGGTCAGAAATTAAAATTTTATTTAGCGCATATACAGTTTACACGTATTTATGTACATACACACTTATCTAATATACATATATTTATATGTTAAGCAGGTGTTGAATTTTGATATCTTTGGTTTATAGATCCATCCTCAATTTTCAAAACTATTATTTCTTTTACCCCACCGAATAAATATAGTATTTGTTTACATACACGTGTAAGTATTTATTTATATACAGAGTCATAATACACACAGTTTTACATACATAATATGTACATGAAAGTAAACATTCAAAGCAATTTATATTTTTGTAGTATGTACTTATGTAAATACATACTCGCGAAATTTACAGTTTTCTGTTTTCTCTTTTTTTCTTGGTACACTCCAACCAATGGCAAACATACTGATGATCATGATATGGAAAACTTATGTACATTGACTTTTTTTAGGATGATACACATTCCTATAATCTCAAATCTCGATGGTTATGAGTTACAGGAGCTCTATTTCTATACACATATTTTATGTAAGAATGTGGCAAAAAATAAGGTTTAACAATTACAATTTGCACGTCTTTTAGCTGAATTGGCTATGAATGAATGGAGACGTCTAATGAGCGCAAGGAAGATACAATTGCTCAGAAATTTGGAATGACAATAATAAATAGAATTACATCAAGAATCAAGACATGAAATCGTGTAACTTAATATTAATCACAATTAGATACTTGATAACACTTAGAAATACATTATATATGTAAATAATTGAGAACTTTAAGCTTTTTTGACAACTTTTAGTATAATCAGACAATGACCGATCTTCTGTTGCTGGTGTCCTTATCGTTGACGGGATTGTAGGGTTCCAGGTCATCAGGAGATGTGTTGAGAGCACTGTAGTCGATGGGAAAGGGACACGTCAAACTGTCTTGAGAACAGATTCCAAATACGTATTGACCTGTAAATTGAATAAATAATTCAGATAAGTTTATAATACGAGGTGCGTGTGATTAAATGTAATTTAATACCAGGTCCATGGGGATACTTTCCAAATAGAAAGTTTGAGAAGCAGAGTTTGAACAAAGTATAATCTATCTTGCCGCTTCCCTTCTGCAAATATTAAAAACATATTTAATCATTAATTTAGAATAGAGGTCTCCCAGTGTGTGCTCTCCGATTTTGACCAAATTGGTTTAAATTGATCACAAATTTAATTAATATGCAATTTGCAAAATGACACCTGCCAATAAGCGCAGGGATATTTGCACCCAAAGAGGAGAAGGCGCGCAGTAAGTTTGGAAAGTGTAAAATTTGTCAACTATTTTGGACGAGTTTTCTCCTCTTCGGATGCAATTTTTTAATCCAAACGTGTTCATTGGGAAATCATGCGTTTGGCGAATTCCATACTAATTAAATTTGTGGTCGATTGACACCGGTTTGCTAAAAATCTGAGAGCATACGCTGCTAGACCTCCATCGTTTGTATCAAATTAAATTTTTGCATAATAATTAATCCAACAAACTCACATCCGTCATAGCATCATAGATGGAATCTAAGGTTTCGTTCACCACGCGAAAATCAATTCCTAGGAACATTGTGTAAAATGCTCTAAGCTGCTCTTTAGATATGATACCCGAACCTGAAAAAAAATCAAGAATCCAATTAAATTGAAACGATGAAAATTCAAAATCTTGTTTATGTATCTCGTTTCATATTGTTATTCGGGACCGTCTTTGCCCTAACTTTTCTTGGAAGTCCGTCATTAGTGCGGATGAAAGGAGGCATAACAAGGAGTTAGGTAACATAATGAATTAAAAAAACCTCGGATACTTATGTACCTACGAAACCACGGAGCATAAAACTAACCAAACGAGAAGATGAAATATATGGTCAATTATAAATTTTACAATAAGAAATTCTAGGGTATTCTAGGGTAAGAAATTCTAGGGTAGAGACCGAACTGGCGTCATGAACAGTTCCCTACAATAATTATGAATATTTCATGATTTTCTGTGGGAATGATTGCAATTGGCAAAGAAAGTTTAGTTTTTAAAGAGAAAAAGAGAAAGTTAACAAGTATTATTACATAATATGTATCATACTAAAAAAAACGAGTATAAATCCTTCATTAAGAAAATTCCGTATAATAAAATCCTTCTGATATACAGTGATGCACTGCTAAAAATCTGATAGATTCGCATATATACTCCGTACTGGTATTGATGTGGTAATAATTTCGTACCGGATTGGTGGTAGTTTGGTTTTGAGTGGTAAATTTTTCGTTACTACAACATTACTAATACCAATTATTACCGTGCCATATTCCGGTCGGTAATGATTTAACACCAGTTTTCTTAGGGTGTATACATACAATTGTAGGTTACATAATTGGGATAGAAAAATATACACATACAAAAATATGGGCACTATGATCTTATTTAGATGGTTTGATTTTCACTCTTTTTTTTGTCCCGAGTTTGAAAATGAGAGGAAATAAAAGTGTTGCGGAAATGAGCTCTGGGCTTTTCCACACACCGTTGGCAACGAAATCATTATTTCTCCGTGATGAAGGAGGGGCAGATGATGGAGACAAGAAGGAGATGAAAAGATGAGAGCAATTTTGTCTTCGTCTCGGAATCCTGGGAACGAGTCAATCTTCACCAGGCTCTTAACCCTGGCTAAATTTTGTAAAGATGGTCCCCAGGCTAGCAGACGGAACCAACTAATGAATAAGTTTGTCAAGGCGTAACATTACAAGAATAAAGGAGAATTGTTCGGAAGAAGGAGTAAATATCGTGCATATTATTTTGGGTCGTCGTGTCGTCATTAAAGATTGTACAGTTTTGAATAACACATTATTTTTGTTGTAATCAAATTAAAGTATTTAAATACCCATGTTTTATTTTGCCCCTCAACTCAACTCACCGTTTTTGTTAATGACTTGAAATAATACTTTTGGGAAATATTGCAGCCATAGGGGAAGAGTCTCCATCACTCTTTTCCCATGCAAGAGTTCGCCCCAAACATCCAGCCATTCTTCAATGTTGACATGATCCCTCGTTTCTATTATATGATTACATCATTTTAGTTAGGATTTAGTACAATTTTTGGGATAAAATAGTTTTATTTGATAGCAATACCTTTATCCGAATGGCAGTAATACATAACGGAACACTCGTCCAACGGTTGGTTCAAGAAACATTCCAGGAATCCGGAGTGGACTTCTTTTAAAATGTGAAACTCTATACATTCCGAAGACCACTCGATGTAGTGACGGATCCTCTGAGAGAAGAAATTAAAATTTGCGTTGAATTTGCATAACTGACAAAATGTGTACTTCACTTGCCTGGTTCAACGCAACAAAATCAGAAGCGGATATCACATCGTCTTTGTTCATGTCCAAAACGTGGCGGAAGAAATGGGTCAATTTTACTTTCTGGAAATCTGATAGAAAATCTCGACCTGGAAGAAGAATGATAAAAAAATAGGAATAAAATACAAGCGGATAAAGTCATCGTCTCACAAACCTGGCTGTTTTTCCTCGCTTTCACCCTCCTCATCAACGCTGCCTCGCTGCACGTAGGTGGCTGAAAGAAGAAATGAGATGATACCATTTATAAGGCTCGGATTACTCGACGAGCATCGTTATCACAGTTTGCATGCCATTTCGGAAACATTGGAATTTGTGTGGTCTTTCTCGTCCTGGTGAAATTTAAATAATTGATGCATTTCCTTAACAAAATATGCTCTTGGCTTTATAATAATGAAAACTACTGTTACATTTCTAGCGACAGGATTCTAGTATATTTATTTGCTTATCGCGGTTTGCTTATCTTGTTGGCGGAAACTAAATCGGAAGTCAATTTATCCTTATTATCAGAGTCACCTTATGATCATTTTCTTCGTTTATGGCTTCCGTAGTCATTCATATATTTCTGAAATAATGGGATATGTATGTACATAGAACACATGAACACACACACGTAAACACATACATTAGTTTGATGAAGGACAAACTGCTGCGTGTGTACACATTTCTAATGTGGGTGTTGGTCTGAGAATGGCCTTTGTATTGATGCACAAGATGAGACGGGAAACAAATCGGAAATCGAATTGTACGTATGAAAGAGGCCGAGAGCAAAGAAGTGATCGATGCTTTAGCTCGATTTTGTGAGAAGGAAACAAGACGGTAAAAGTGAAAGTGGGCACGTTTCGTTTGAATTTTTTAGGAAATATTAAATTCTAAAGTTTAAAACAAAGCTCTTCCTTTACGCACATATTTAATAATAATCAGGTTAAAATAACTAGGAAAATGGTCAACCAACCCCAGACATGCACACTCCAAGAAGACTTCTCATCCACCACGACGGGTTCTGGCATCTCGACCTGGGAATGCTTCTTGACCAACATTCTGATCTTTCCCACGGTTGTGGTGGGTGGGGGATCTCCTCCTCCCGAGAATCCTGGCGTCGTTGGCGTCGTTCTTCCCGGAGTGGAAGTGGTGGATCCAGGGTGACAATCGTCGTCATTCTCAGTCTGATGTTCGGGCAGGGTTTTCCAACGTTTAAACAAATCCTTTGTCTTTTTGCCACACACGTTTCTCCAAGTGTTGAACACCTTCCTGGTCACGCGGACAGATTTATCCTTATCCGATCCTGCAAAATAGCATACAATTTTAGACTGCATAATTGGAATTTTGATTGATTCGTAATTGGTTAGCACCACTGGGTGACGTGACACTTTTCAAGGACAAAAGTTAATTAATCACCTGTAGAACTGGTAGAAGAATGTCTCGACTTTCCCAAATTGGGGCTTGTCGGCGTCCCCGGGTTTGAGGACCCCCCTTTGCTATTGTGATTGTGATTTCCATGATTTGCAGTGCAACTGTAGGAATTTTGAGAAGCGGAGGAATTTTGCTGAAAGCTGGATGATGCATTGGCGTTGGCAGAAGTGGGCGAAGGTGAAGTGATCGACTGAGGTTGTTCATTTTTGCTGAAAACTTTGCCAAATGAGATTTTCTTAGCGGAGCCACTCGCACTGCTCGACTCGTCTCCTGAGGGAGTTGTGGGGCTGGCAGTCAAAGTGGTCAAAGTCTGACCAGGGCCTGGGCTGAGACCGCGGGACTGAGAGTTGTGGTCGGACGAAGAGGAAGAGAGCTCCTTCTCCATCAAGGATAGCTTTTGATGTACTGATTGTTCCAATGTCATTTCCACCTGGAGTGATAATGATGATGGGTGGTCGTGCGAATCATCAATCCTCATTTGGGGTTGGATTAGATTTAGAAGTGGTCTCGCTGGCTGGCTGATTCAATATTATTCCCCTTTTTCAACAAGGATGAAGAAGAAGGGGAACAACGCAGTGGGAAAAGTGATTCAGTTGGAGAGAAGGAGATTCCAAACGGTGTGTAAATAGCAGTATTTTTTCCTGTGAGAGAAAATATCGAGAATGTCAGGGGTGGGCAAAATACTTTGGCAAAATACGGTATTTTATACGGTATTTATTAGCTCCGTTCTTCCCAGGGTTTGCAAATCTGCGTTGAGAAAATCTTACGAAAATAATGTGAAGAAATTGACTTCTTATCGCTGTCAAACTACTTCATTTTTTTAAATATTGAAAATAATTTATATATTTTGACTGCGATAAAAAGTTAATTTCTTCACAAAACCTGCATTTTCTTATGACTGTTGTATTCTCCACGTAGATTCTCGTCTTTTTGTGGGTGTAACACCCCTGGAAATGCAAACCCTGAGAATAACCTAGCTCAAACTACTGTATTTTGAGAAAGTATTTATCCCACCCCTGGAGAATAAATATATATAGAGAATACCAGGATTTATTTTAGAACACGTACTAATTTTCATCTTGTAAGTTTAACGAGAAAATGAAAGCTGTTCTGTTTACGATGATAAGCGCACAACTTGATGAAAAACAAATACATAGTTAGTTACTGCATGATCCTTGCATCATCATGATTTTACTGTAATTCTTCCTAATCCCAAACTCAATAGGGCAAAACTTAGGTGAAATGGGAATTATATTTACTACACGTACAGACTTATGCATTAGCAGGCAACACATGGAATGGATCAAGTGAGTTCACTCATCTATTGTCTAAATAACGAGTATTTCTATCTGGAACACCACACATTCGCAGGATCAGAGGACAGTTCTATTATGTGCATCCCATTTATTCGGAGGATCAGCTCGAGAATAATTTTCAGCAGGAGACACACACACAAAGGTGCTTATGCTTACCTAAAATAAAACCTGGCATGGTTTGGTGATGGAGAAAGTAAAGAAAAGCGGACGGGATTGCCCTGCTGAATTTCAAGATGCTGTTAAGTGTAGAATATAAATGGACCTGAACGACTGAGAGATCATGGGATGACGACCTAAATACGTGTAATAAATAGGATTTGGTGTAGTTTCTGACCAAAGCTCGAACCACAAGTTAAGCCAACCAACCAACCAACCATCAAGCAATGACACTTTCACTCAATTTACTTTCATCACGACCACAACCACTTGAACGGAAATAGACCAAGAAAGGAGAAATGTGGTGACGCGTTAATTTCAAGAATGACCTTGTCTTTTGATGGTTATCTTGTCAACGGTGTAAAATATAACGAACTTCGACACCACCGTACTTTCGTACAACTCTCGAAATAATACAACTTTGAACAATTCCAAAATTGGCTACGCGATGTTATAATTACACTTTTAATCCTTATGAAACAAACGATGTAAGCGGAATTATTGGGTGATATGAATAAAACCAGGGAAATCCTTTTTCCGAAAAAATTGAGGAGAATGCCCCAATATAGATGAATAAAAATTTGGGCATTTGCTTTTCCCCGAGGGAAAGGAAAAAGGGAATAGCTTTTCCCTCAACCTCAAGATTTTCCCTGCAGACGGGGATTTTCGTATGAATAAAACCAAGGTGAAAGCCTTTCCTTCAGGCAATCTCCCCAAAAAATACCGATCAGCTACTATGCTGACCCCAACTAACAAAATTAGCAATAAAACTTAGTTTTTAAGCATCTGTTGTACTTTTTATGAATGTTGGACACTAGTTGGACATGTTAGGGCTTTGAAACTCACAAAACCAGATTTATCGACAAAAATATAGATTTTTATTTGCTATCGACATCGAAAAAATGTATTTTATATTTTCATTGAAAACCTGAAAATATTTTCTGAAATATTTTTAAATTCAGATTTCGGCCAACTGGTCATGCTACCGGTATCGCGCAAGTTGCATATAAATGTTGAAAATTTTCCAAGATTCTAATTAAATTCTGCTTTCGCTCATTTATTCGCCGTTTAAGGGTCCATTGCATGTGGGTTTTGAGTTTGAATTTTTGTGTCTCAACTTTCCATTCCTCCATATAAATGGCGATTTTGAAACCCATTCATCGTCGTGCATATTTTACAAAAAGGGAGGTTTCAAAATTCGAAAATTTTTAGCTTTATACAAAGTTAGGAGGTTAAAATTTTAGTATTTTTCCTGGTTAGGAAATTTTTGAAAATCTATAAAAAATTCAAAAATGAGTTTGATCTTGAATATTATAAAATAACTGTATGGGACAATAATCGTAAAAGAGTTTTTAAATTCCGAGAACAATTTGATTTTTGGCGAGCATTTGAAGGTGGTTTTTTGAGGTTAGTCTGAGTAAGTTTGGAGGGTGTTCAAAAAATCAAAAATAGATTAAATTAAATACACTTATATACAACAAAACAACGCTGAAATTTCCTTGATTTTTGCAATTCTGAGATGCGCCGATACCGAATTTTAGCCTTTTTAGCGAACATCACAAACCAGTGGGGGTCATTGGGGGACATTTCTTTAAGAATTTGATCAAAATCATGGTCAGAGAAATTTTTGAAATGCATTTGTGTTCGTTGCAATGGTATTATTTTAATTACATGTAATTGAAGTCAGGGGATTTGCCCGAAACCAAGGGGATTTGCCTGGCGAGAAAGGTAAAAGTTTATTCATACGAAAAGGAGCAATAGCCTTGACCTGTGAGACTTTCCCTCAGGCAAATGCCTTTCCCTTTTCCCGTTTCCTTGGAGGATTTCCCTGGTTTTATTCATACCAGTAATTGAGTTTCAGCATTTCCCCCGTGCACCAAAATACTTTCCAGAGTTTGCTTGTTATTAATATCTCGTGGAATTTACTTTCTTTGAAAACATGTACAACAAAGTTGTCCTTTGTTAGTATCGAATTTTCAATTAAGTGCAGGTACATTGGTCGTTATACCTTGTTTCCGTTGTATTAAAGGTTTATTGCCTAACGTGGGTGGATTGGATTAATTGGAAGATTCGATTCATATTAAATCGAGGGCATTGTGCATAAGCACGAAGAAAATCGAATATCGAAAATGACAGCAATAAGTACTGCAAGTGTACATACATTCCGACCCATTTTAAATAAGTGGTCTCCCAAAATTGCAAACTTTCCATAGTCCGAGTTGTTTGTGTAACATGATTATTGCCCGGACTAACAAAATGCGAAAATAAGAGGTTAATTTAGATGTCATTCAACCTACATGTATGCATGGCTTAAATACTTAAGACTTGTTAATGGTGCTGTGCATTTTATATGATGGGCGTCACCAATATTTCGTCTTTTAAATAACTTTATCACCCACGTCACTACATACATCGTTCAAATATTGAGTTGTCCAACCTCGGGAAAAATTGACAAAGCGTTTGAAAGCTGTCTATTGGCTGGATATTGAATATATTGCATATTTTTTGTCGAGTCGCACCTTTTTTGACTGGGCCGATTTCAGTTTGAAACATTTTTGCTCATTTGTTACCTATTAGTTCTCTTTATCGACAATCAATTATCATTTTGCAATTTTGAAAAATTCTAAAAGTCTAAAAGTCTGTTTAGTTTCTCAATTATTTAGTGGCGTGAGCCGCTTATTGTGATCGCTTTGTCTGTCCTTCCGTCCGTCTGCCTGTTTTTTGGTCAGAATATCTCCAGAACGCCTCAATATAATCAAGCGCCGTTTTCGCCATTGTGCATCTAATTTTTAGTTCTCGGTCAAGTTCGATAACGGGGTCAATCGGCCCAGGACGAGGTCAAAGACAAAAAATACAAAATTTCCATATTGGGTGTTATTTTACATTGTATAACACCACTTTTTTATATTCACTTGAGACGATTTATTTCATTTACAATCTACTTTCACCGATTTACTTGGCTCCCAACCAGTCATTATTGTGGAGTGATGATAACAGCCAAAATTTTACAACAGTACAATATTGTAAGCTTATTATTTTCTCTCACAAAAGGAGTATCCAACCCAATTTTGCGGTATTTTTCTGGCCAACAGCACCCGCCGTATTATCGCAATGTTTGTTCTACTTCTGCTTTCATTTCATACATACACTTGTCCCCTAATAATACAAGGCAGCCCACAACACAACCCTGGTAAGCACTCACCCCCGTCCGTTATTGATTCAACTTGACCCAGAGCCATTTAGCTGGTAAATGTACCCTAATTCGGCAGATTTATCGCATTCCTGCGAGGAGAAAACCTTTATTAATACGTTGGGAGAAGGAGACCTCAATAAATAAAGTGCCTAACATTTCATCCAATTTCAACCGGTACGCAAATATCCTCCGGTTGGTGCTCATGTGTTATTATTAGACCTAAGCTGCCCCTAAGTAAAAATAAGGACTCAAATTGGACTCAAATTACTTCTTGGCAAAGACGGTAGTGAATCCTCTTTTGAGCTAAAATCATAAAATGGCCTGAGCCCCTGAAAAACGAGTCTTCTCTCCTCCATAAGCTGCATACGTGGCTGACCACCACGCCCAAATGGGTGCAGTTCCTCAACTCAACCTGTCCCGTATATTCCATTCATCGCCGTGGTGAGCGAAAAAGCATGTATGTGGCGTGACATATAAGCTTGAATATTTACACCGTACATATTTATGCGCTTACGTACACTCACATGCACCATGTCGTCTTGCATGGAATGAAAAAATAAATCTGAAATCGATTCTTTTCCCTCGCTTTTACCTACCTGCCCATTGAATCATTGCAACTTTGATAAGTAATCACCAAGCTCAATGTCTTAATACGGACGGCATAAAGAAGTATTTACTGACTGGGCACGACACACAGGATCTCATCAACTTCCCAATTTAATGGCGAGTTAATCCTTGCGGTCATGTCAGGTTCGATTAGGAAGGAGAAGAAAGTAGCAATATTTTACGTGTACTTTCCGTGATAAGATTTACTAAGGGGACTAAATGTACGATACATGGTCCGTTGGTTTGTTTACTACTACTACTTTTCAATCATGGTAACAGACTCCTGTCAAGACGTCACGTCCGAAGAGCACACAATTTGCCCTGCACAAAGGACGTATTCATACAGTTAAGCCCAACTCACCTCATTGTTCCATTTCGATGAAATTCAATTACTTGGCAACTTTTCGAAATTGAGACGTCTTCTTCTGAACTGTTACAAAAGAAGCGAACTTTTCCTTTTTCCCGTAGATTTCGATATCGATATCTTTCTCCTCATGGCGATGATACTTTGTTTGTTGGGATGAATTTCTATATTTACTCGCTATGTACATATGTTTATCCATGAATGTTTGCTTTGCATATGGATATGTCGTGCAGCCACCAGCGTCTCATTTGTTGAGACATCCGACACCCCGCGGTGGGGTCAGATTGCAAATAAGAGTTCTTAAAACCAAATGGTGCATGGCTTGCTTTCGGGGAGAAAGTAAATTTCTGCAAGGGCCACAAGTTGGAGATAACAAGATGTCGAGATACTTATGCAAGGAGAGAAATCCGATACGACTTTTGACATATGGAGTCGATTATGTAAATGATGTAGAATTTATTTATTTCCTGCCCAAATTCTGCCCAAATTGAGAGAAGAGTAGGGAAGAAGAAGAAGACACAAGAGAATGGAGAAATCGGATCGTGCGGATAACAACCGACCGACCAACTTTGGGCGATTCTATTGACTCGAAATTTCATATAGTTTGTGATCCTATTTACTTCATTTCGCTATCCATACACATGGCCAACCAATCTAATCTTAGGTACGTTATGGATGTATGTATGTACATACTTATGTGCAACTTGAAAAAATTGGATTTTGTGCTCGGGAGTATGGAAGCCTTGAGAGGTTGTATACGTGCACAGACAAATGACAAAGTCATGCATCATTCCCTAATTTGACGGCCATCATCTTTCTCTGTAAGGTCGATTTATATATGAAGAAATCGAGTTAAGTTCACTTTCAAAACTGTGTCACATGCTTATTCAGATGCATTTCGATATTTTTTTTAAATTATGCGAATAATTTGCAGAGAAAGTGAAATACTTTCTCTATCATTGTGAACAATGTATTCTTACAATGCAAGTCTCTCAGCATATGCTCTCCGATTCTGACCAAACTAGTGTCGATCGATCATAAATTTAATTAGTATGAAATTTGCAAAAGGCACTACCTACCAAAGCTCAGGTTTGGCATTCAGAGATATTTGCGTTCGAAGAGATGGAAACGCGCAGAAAATTTGGAAAGTCTAAAATTTTTCAACTTTAGGGTGCACTTTCCCCTCTTCAAATGCAAATATTTCTGCCAAGTCTGCACATTTGCAAATTGCATACTAATTAAATTTGTAATCGATCGACACTAGTTTGGTCAAAATTGGAAAGCATACGCTGAGAAACCTTCATTGTTATTTGCGACAAATTATTGCACACCGACGGTGAACAGCGTAACAATAGAATAATTTCAAACGACAAAAAATCATCCAACGCATGTATTGTTGTCCAAGAAAAGATTTTTCTACACCGTGACACCTTCAAGAGCAACCCAACTGAGCATGAACTGCAACCAGTCACACATTTTGCAAACAACAACAAGACTGTGGCGCTGAAAGGAGAAAAGTCACGCTTTGCCAACCATCTTCTGATTCCTTTGTACAAGATTTATTACATTCTTTATGTCCATCCGACGGATAGAAGGGAGAAAACTTTACCAGAAAGTGGTATATTTCTGCTCTTTTTCCATTTTCATGAATTTTGCACTTCAGTCTTGCGTCAGAATAAGAATTGGGAGTTGAACATGAACTGGCAGCTAGCTAGATACACCTCCCTCCACGAGCCGAGTATGTATCCACTCGTTTGGGCAACAAGGTGAAAGTCGTGGAGTGGACAAACTATGTACGTACACAAAAAGCCAAACTTATTACTCCAGCGTTGAAACTTTTCAGCCCTGTAAACAAAATGCGTGCTACGATCTTCAAACTCGTAATAATTCAATTAAAAAATCTGACATTTCCGGATCCATGATTTATCCACGATCAAATCCTATTACTTTGAAAACTTGTCAAATTACCACAACTTTTATGTCGGTTGGTAGTTGTTCTTCCTCAATTAATATTTCAATCACCTTTCCCCAAAAAATGTATGAATATGAGATGTGACTCCGTCCTTTGCGATTACTGCGGAGTAAATCACAGGTATCTCCTCTCCTCCATCTCAGAAGTACGGAGGCTCAACCTCTGAATTTTTTAACAAGGGCTGCAAAACTACACTGCTAAAAATCTGGTAGAGTCGCATATATACTTCGTTCTGGTATTGACTTGGTAATAACTTTCTACCGGATTGGTAGTAGGTTGTTACTGAGTGGTAAATTTGTCATTACCGCAACATAACTGAACCATAATGCTTGTTATTACCGGTGTCCGTAGTGTCATATATATGTACTCCGGCCAGTAATAATTTTACACCAGTTTTCTAAGAGTGTACAATCACTTCCACCAAAGTGAAGCTATATACATAATAAGTGCTACTCCCCGTTCTCTCCTACCTGAGTGAGTCTCAAATTAAAAATCCACCATTCCAAATGATTTATTTCAGACTTTGCCTGCATTTCTAAATTCGTCCGTAATTTATTACGTTGACGGTTTCAGATTGAAATATTAATTTCCACGGATTGGACGAAGGAGAAGGTCGAAGGTAATGAATAAATTAGGATTTCTAGAGCTTTTGTCCTCCTCGTGCCTCTTTCTTGTTTGGGATGCTGCGTAGAAATGCAGACTAATCGGAATTGTTTCTATTTCCAGTCGAGATTGGGAATGATTACGTCCTTTTCATTCAATTATTTGCACCGTATGGAAAGCATTCAAGTTTCTCATGTTGCACTCAAAAGAGAGAGAGTCTTAAAAGAGAGATTATTTTACTTTCACTACGACTTCATGAAAATGTCGAACCATATCACAAAACTCCAATTTGGACGATATCTCCTCCTCCATGGGGATGAGCGTACACAGATTTTACCTTAATCCGAAATCCATTAGCTGTTGACTCTCCATTTCTCTCAGTACATATTTCAACGGAGAGTATGTAATGCACCAGTTTTACAGAGATACGTATTTTTGGCTCTCTTTTATTCCTCAGTCCAATTCCATTCCAAGGAAGCTTTAGTAGCTAAACTACGATGTAAGCAAGGGAAGAAATGAATCCAATGTTTCATGAAGAAACAAATTTTCCTGCCTCGTTATAAAAAATCCCCTTAATGTCAAATCTTGACTTTTTGATGCAATCATAAATTGAGACGGGGAGCGAGCACCTACACTAAAATCCATTACAGAGATATTACATGCAGACATACACAGACCAGGGAAAAGAGGAGAAAGTATGAGAGTAAATAAATAGGATTAATTACTGGAGACTGATGGAAAGTTGAAATGTCACAATATCCAAGTTGAGTACGTACGTAGGAGAAAGCGGTGAGTATTGCGAATCCTGTCCTGTTCTCAATGGGATTTGAGTGTATAAATGGTTTTCTCCATTCCACTTCAAAATTACACTTTATTAAATAAACATATCCATAACTCACTCACTCGACGACAAAATATAGAAACTTTCACGTTTTTTTCTTCTATTCCAGAAATTCTGCAAAGTTTTATTTCTCTTGGCTGTCTCCTTTCCTATATTATTTTTAACCACAAGGATGAACTACACAATAATTCGCTCGGTTGACGTCTGTAAAACAATGGTTAATGAAAATGTCAGCGTTTTTTTTTCTATCTTTTAGGAGGAGAGTCTTACACATGTATGTATTCCTTATGGAGCCGGTGATTTCGTGGTTTGGGTGCCACGGGGAGAAGAACAAATGATGAGGAGAGAAGACCACGCGAAGACGAAGCACGTAGGAAATGAACTGAAGAAGCAGCACTACAGCGATTCGAGTGAAAGCAGGTTTCGCGAAATCGGAGTGTTCCACCAAATTTCAGCGTTCCTTCAACTTTACTGCCTGCCTGCCCGACTCAGCCAGCCAGCCAGCCACGGACGAACCAATGTTAACTACATGTGTACAACGGTTAACCAAACAGAAGTTAGTTTTTTTGCAATTGGACACAAAAATGAAACCGGTATACGAGACTGCTGTACTGTACACTCAAAATAACCTGGTGTCAATCCAGTGCGGTGTTGTCACATATAGACACCACGCGGTGTTAATGCGGGCAATTAACACCGCGCGGTGTCTATATGTGACTTCACCGCGCTGGATTGACACCAGATTATTTTGAGTGTACCCATCAACAAGGAAGCACCGTGTACGTACACTTTCTCGCTGTTCTGTCCCCCAACATTAGGAACATTGCACATTGCAATTGTTGGAGGTTGAAGGGATATGTGTGCCATGCTTGATTGCAATGGTAATTGGAAGGCCAAAGTGTGGGATGGCTGGAAAATTGCGGTATTTTACCCCATTCTCCATTTCACTGGGAAACCATTAAACCTTTAAATTGAGTGCAGGCTGAAAATTTCGTGGGAGAAAGTATGAGAGAAAGCCGAGATGGAGGCAGGTAAAGATCATGTACGTACAAAGTCAATCTGTGAATTTGGCCTAATGTTGTGTATTATTTTACGAGGTAAAGAATTAGAATTTAAATTCTGACCACGTTTTTACCAAAATTACCCCACATGCAGGAATACTCGACTAATTCGGTGTGCCCTCCTCTCATTCTTCAGCCATTCATCCCATTAAGTTTTGCACCCTTATTTATTTACTGCCTCACATACCAAATCTCCAATCTCATTTCCCGTGAGATTCTTCCTAAGGTTATGCAACGACATGATAATCTCGTTATGCAACAAGGTCATGTGCATACGGATTATAGAGAGAATATTAATGACACCGTCCTGCACAATTTTATAGGGATGCTTTCATTTCATACCTACGTGGATCAGGATCGGGTAGTGACGTGCTCTAAATAACCAACAGATTAGATCAACCGGAGATGAGAGAGAGGAGGCTGGGCAACTTTTTGACTGAGACGTACCGGACGGAGTAAGATGCTAATATGATGATGATGACGACGATGCGATGGTGACGATGATATGCTAACTCAATATTATCATGTGGACTTGGCTCTCAAGTGGCAAAATTTTATTAAAATTCTCAACATGTTTGTTCAAGTTATTCTACATTTCTACTTAATTTAACCTCGCCTTGCAGAAGGGAGAAAGTTTGACTGGTAAATTTACACGGTGACATGTGACGTTGTTGTTGGGATGAGGATGAGGATGATGATGATGATGACTCTTAAAACTCATCATCTCAGGCAGCCAGCTATTAATATTCTGGTGGAAGAGTTGGTCTTGTTATGTACTCTGCTTGCCGTGCTTACATAAGCTGCGGATGTTCCACTTCCCAAAGTAAACATTTTGCCGATATTTGCCAAAGTATATGTGTGCTTGTCGTGTGCATATATGGATGGATGAACTGCGATATATGCGACATGACATGGCAAAGTTCACATGGAAATTGTCTCCTTTGTTGGGGAGGAGACGTACTTGTGGCAGAGACAGGCTGCCAAACTACATCAAATTGTTTTACAATCACTGTAATCAAGAGGGAAGTGTAATTTATTTTACATATAATATAATTTTGCATGGTGAAGCAGGGTTGTAAATTTTAGTTTGAGGAACCATCAATAAACGGATAAGGTAAATAATTAAGTAAAGTTCGTAAAGTTGTCTCTATAAGTATTTAGGAAACGTTATCGTGTCATGTTTCCCAACGGAATTTCACATTATTTTAATTCCTTCCTTCCTTCCTGTGGTTGTATAGTGCGGTAAACGGGTAACACTTTGACCGACCAGTTTAAAATTGGATGGGAAAGTCGTATACAAGAAAATAACTGGTGAAAGTCGGGGAATATTAAAGTGTACATAAATTGATTTCGAGTGTAAAAGCTAAATTTTAAACGTGACATTTAGAAAGCATTAAAACTGTCCAATTTTATTCATAATTAAGTTAATTTGACATGACTGTATTGACAAGTGTGTAACAAGCATTTCTCGTTATAAATTCTAAATTTTGAATGCGATTCTGCTGGGGAAAGAAGGTTCTACGACGTTTATTTATAATTTGATTCGTAATTGATACTGCCAACGTTAAATTTTTAATCAGCTCCAAGAATTTGACTTTCTTCCTGGCGAAATAAGTCACCCAGTTATAAATGAAAGCCAACTTTGAAGATGTAGGTAAAGATAAAGTTGGAGTAAATAAATAGGAAATTTATACGAGTGGATCAGCTCCAAGAGAGGAAGAAAAGTCCTCTCTTCTGACTTATGAATATTCATGAATATTCAGTTAGATGAGCATCTCCGACTCAATTTGTTTCATGGAAGAGAAAGTCAGGAGATGGGAAACTGATAGTTTGAGGGTTCCGTTACAACTTCCCCTCTCTCGATAAATAAATCAATCCCTAATTTCACAACTTTCCCACTCCACCAGTTACCTACCTTTACGTACGTACGTAATTTGGGTTCAACTCAATATTGAAAGTGTACACACAGAAAATGAAATGAACGTCAATCCAGATAATTATTTACTTCAATCTGTTAGAGATTTTGCAATATGGAAATAAGAGAAGTGGGTACAATGAAATAAACTTAAAAAATCAAGGGAACTAAATTTTTGCGACGAATTTCAGCACTTATTAGAGCGAATATAAATTAAATAATATAATGTAATATAATGTAATATAATGTAATATAATGTAATATAATGTAATATAATAATATAATGTTTGCAAAGTTTGTTGTGAAATGTGCCGGAAAAAGTCAGTCGAATGGAATTGAACGATGGGAAAAACTTGTTACCTGTCCCAGCACACTTAATTTCGTAGCCTACATAATTAATAGAATTTAAATATGGATAATAATGATAGATAACTTCATATAGGAGGATACTAGTCTATGCAAATACGTAGGAAGTAACAACCTTGAAAATAAATATGGTGGAATTCTCATGAATTTTATTTCCTAAAAAAAGTGCAGAGACATCACGAGTCTTGAGTCTTTTTTTCTCATCCGAAAGCATCATCTTCATCCTTCTCCGGTGAGAGTGACGTAAATTGGATCTTAAATATTTCATGGATTGTGTGACACGGTAAACACGTTAAGTTTTATTTTATGTCGGAAATAGATGAGCAAAATCACATGTACATGTGTCGAGATGTATGTAACAATAGTAGTAAAATCGAGGTCACGGGTGCCCGACAATGAGCACTGTTCCCATCCCACAACTACCTACCTACGGACTACGGACGTACACATGTACTAACACACATTCCTCGGTAACAACCCATTCGAAGCAACATTATTGAATTAGCTAATCGATGAATTCGATTAGTAACCGAGGCAAGAATGAGGAAAAGAAGACGGAATAAGGGCGAGGAGGGGAAAGTGATAACAGCCTTTCTCCATTTTGCCCATCCCATTGTCATCCATTAATGGTATGGCTGCTCCTATCTGTACTAAAGATCAATAATTGAATACCTTTTCCCTGCCCTCGCATGACCTTATTCTCTTTGTTCCAGGAAATATGGCAGATTGGTGGTCATACGGCATTTTTTAGGCGAAATTATTCAGATTTTGTTTGCTAAAAACGGTCATAAGTAGAGGGCGGATATGTATTTAGTTTCAATTTTGTAATTTGATGATGACCGATGGCGGAACTTTGTGGGCGTTTTCGCTGTATCGAATAGATTTTTTAAAATATTTTCACATACACATTTTTAGTATACGCATTTTTGTTTTTAGATTTGCAGACATATATTTATAAATATTTCCGCTATTATTTTAAAAGTACGTACATATTTTAGATATTTTTTCAAAAAATGCATATATTTTGTAAATATTTCAACGAGACGAGACGAAATTTTTTTGCTCAAACAAATTGGATCAAAGAAAAAACCCCTAGCATTATTATCAGAAATATAAATTTTGCAAAAATCTTATATTCTTATATTTTTTGTGCATATTTCGTAAATATTTTGCGTTTTTTCGTAAATACATATCCACCCTCTAATCATAAATAATCCAGTAAAGTAATACTTCTCCGTCATCATCATCAAGGAATTATATTAAATTGACTCGAAATTCACTAACTTCCGTCCTTCATAGTCTTTCATCACTTTTGCAGTGTTGGATATGAAATATGATTATGCACATGTCTTCATGATTGACGAGTACACGACACTGCATTTGTGAGGAGTGAAAAGCTACAACTATTTTCACTTTGGCTTACATTCATTTCGTATGCCGTGCTGAAAAAGTAATTGCGGAAATTCGCACTACTTCCCTCCACACTAATCTGGTTAATGATAGGAGGACAACAATATGCAGAATCGTCGTAAATAAATTAGCAATTTGCCTCACCTCGTCGCTTACCATGCGTGTCTCGCTCGTTGTGTGAAGAAAATCGAACGGAATTACAGGTAAGAAGCTCCATACATGTAAGATTGGAAGCCAAATTACTAAATGTGATCATCGTCCTGTAATGCACATTATGCCAGCGTAAGTACATACGCGTTGCAACAGAGGAAAAGAAGCCAGTATGGAGTCGAAATGCAAGTAAATCTTGCTGCATAATTGAATTTGTAAACTGACTGACTCTTTTTCGGACTGTGTTTGTGTGTATGTTGTTCTCGTGGTTTTCTTATTCCCAAAAGAGTTGCGAAAACCAAAGCCACTTACTTTTACATAACAACTAACAAGGCGAAGGGGTCAGGGGATAACCTTAGATTTTGATTTGGGTCGGACGGAATTTTAAAAAATCATGGGTTTTTAAAACGCTGTAACTTTTAGAATTTTGACATGATTTGAATCCGAATTACGTTATTGAATTTTCTAAAGTGGATACATTTTTATATTTTATGAGCTATTCGCCAGTTTCTAAATTTTGAAAAATCTCAAGATCTCGCAAAATTTTAAATTTTGAAAATGTGTTTTCGGGGTTTTGAAATCGCACTAAAGTTCAAATATTTAAAGCTTTTGGGAACAAGTTATGACTGAAAATGATTATGAAAATTCCGTCAAGTAGTCTTTGCTCAAATCTTGACCCAACTCAAGAGATAGAGAAAGTTACAGAAATTTTAAAAAATTCAAAAATATGGGACTGCTCATTTCCGGCACTGAACAAATTAAACTTGGTCCGATCGATCAAAATCTAAGATTAACCACTAACACACTCGTATTGCAACTCACTGCAATATATTTATGAACTCGTGGTTCTTTAATTTTGCAAAATCTCATTTGAAAAGTATATAAACAATTGGGCTTTTTGTAAGTACACTACGAAAACGCAGAGTGGTCGTGGTCCAAGTCAATTCCTCCTGATTCAAGTCTTCTCTGCAATTAGGTCATAAATTGCATGTGCCCCATGTCTCAATAAGGTCGGATTAAATCAGACATATTTACATTTGCTAGAGAGTCGTCAATATGCCGTTTCTGATGGAATAAGTGTCTGTGAAGTCACCCTGAAAACCTAACTCAAACCTTCTCCTCTCGCTCGCTAGTCATGCGACTCTGGAAAGTTGTGTTTGTGTATTCGTTAGAGAAGGATGGACGATAATGACATTTCAGTTTCGAAACGTTCCTTCACTCCACTGAATATTTTATTTATTTGGCCCACCACCGAAGCAAACCACGACTGAAGGAAGAGGAAAACTTTGTTGGGATGCGAGACAGGTGAATTTCTCGAGTTGATTTTTGATTTCCCAAGATCACTTTCGATTCCTTGATCTCTCAATCCTCTCACAGCAGCAGAACTGCATAATAAAATATCAGAGTCCTACCTACCTACATATGCGACGCATTACATAATAAATTATTCAGGAGGAAATTATTTTCCAATTTTACTTCCGGAAATATTTCATCTATTTCTTTCTACATATGTATTCAAACTCTCGATAAGCTTGACGCCTGGATAAGTTTGGGTACGTGATCTTGTAAATTATTCCGACAAGTGTCACAAACTAGTTGTTTCTTGTTTCTCACAAAATTAGGAATAAATCCGATTCGCTACTTCTTTCTGGGGAAAGTTTGTGACCACACGCAGCTCCAGACTGACTTTCATGGGCAAGAAACCAGATTCGATTCAAGATCACGGCGGCCCTGACTTTCTCCTCAGGACGCCGATCAGTACACAAAGTCGATAAATATTCACGAGCCGCGTGTGCTTATTCAGTACATAGTCCCATAAAATTTCGTAAATGAAATACATTACGCCAAAGCACCGAGTGACCTAGCTATTCGGAAATGTATGATACATAATTGCACAAATATACACCCATGTAAATAAGCGACATTCGTGTAAGCACTTTCTCTCGTGTGGCAAGATCATATCATAAAATGGCAATTTTGCTACTTTGTCCGAGTCAAACGTTAACCTAAATCCCATCATCCGCATGTATGTGCCAATTTACCTTCTTGTGTGTGTACACAACACACATGTTTACTTTTTGCATATTTATGTATCCAAACCTGCCTACGGTGGGTCCCGATAAACTCATTCATTATTATCCGGGTTATAGTTGGTGGGACAGATTGGAAATTGAAATTGACGTGGGACACAGATATCTCGTCGGCGGAAGTGGAGTGGCATGACAGGCAGGAGGGCCAAGCTGAATGCGTCACATCTCATTTTCCTTCGATTGTTTGGAAGACAACAGTTGGGTAAATCGGGATCAAATTAAATTAGAATATTCATTATCGATTGAACGTAAAGGTGAAATAGATCGAAATTGCGACCCGACGCTGTAATCATGTCGTATTTTTATAGGCGGAGAAACTTATTTTTAGCCTGATACACTACCACCTTGAAAGGTGACTCAATTTCGACCTCAAGGTTCGATGATGACGAGAATCACACCACCAACCAGCACCGCAGTTACTTCGCCTGATACTATTTTACAATTGCAATCTACTCAGGCTTTTATATCCCAGCAGAAATAAATAATGCTGCTGCTCCTCGTCTCAAAATGCAATTGTCTTCCACTCAACAACACCACCCTTTCACCCCGAGTTTTCTCTCCTCTCCGTTAGTGCTGGAACTGGTGGAAATACAATTTTTTAATATACCCTCAAAAAGAACAAGGACACAGAAAGTGGAGAGTCAAAAGAATCCTTTGTCAAATGTGAAATGTAGCAGGAGAGGTTTGCTTGGAGAAAGAAAGAAAGAATCACTCGACGGCCGAGTGTTGCATTCAATTGTGATAATAATTGCAAAATTGTAGCGTTACCGCAGTTTTGAAATAGTAAGTTTTTGTCCGGGACAAACATCTATTGTATTTTTGGGTTAGTCCTCGTTGCAGACTAAATTTTTAAACTTGCTGGTTTCTCCCGAGCACCTGATGCGATGTCATGAAGGAAAAGTAGCAAGCGTTAGACGTACTACTGATTCTCTCACCTTTTGTTTGTCTCACTTTTGAAATTGGTGTTGGTTCTGCTGCTGTTCTGTTTTGGTCGGATATGGAAAGTGTAAATATTTGATGCAGCCCCAGACCCAGGTTGGAATAGGAGAGAAGAACCAATTTCTCTCCACGCGCTTTCTCCCAGAATTTCTGTCCTCCTGGTTAGTGGAACTATTCGAAATGAAATAAATGAGAGGGCAAGGACGTCATCCGGTCCAACGGACGGACGGACGCCACCGGAACGACCTCTTCCAGTACAGACACCTTTTTTGCGCTGATAATTATATGAAATGCGCTATTTTGTGAAAATTATTCGATGCAGTCTGCTCTTTATCCCACAATGCAGTTTCAATGTTCTGACGAGATGGGTTTCAAAATCAAGTTGACGTTTGCATATTTATCTGGAAATATGATAATGAAATTGGCAACTTCAAAGCAGTGTTATTATTTTTCCTTATTTTTATTTCTGTTCTAGAATCTTTTACAAAAATGTATGAAATATATACCTGTTAAATATATAAGTATCAGCGTATGACTAAAAATCTAAGCTTTTCAACGGGGAATTTACGTTTGTGATTGTTATAATTACTAAGAACCCAACTCGAATGAAGTCTTAATCTCCAAAAAAACTGTACAAAAAATGGAGAAAATATTTTACTGAGATATAGCCTCGTCAAAGGACAAGTTACTCAAAAATACGTTGTAAACAATACAAAAGTTACGTTTTATACGCAACTTTCGAAAAAATCGTCACTTCATGAAATTGAACAACAATGACTAATATATATAACACATCAAATATAGCACGCCACATTAACAATTGAGTTGGATTGTCAATGTGCATAAATTAACGGGTAATTGATTTTTGAATCAATAGTTTTTAAAGTTTGTTAACAAAAAAAATTTCGAGTACAATACCAAATACCTTACACAAAAATTTACGCGACCGTAATGATGCTGTCAAAGCATCGCAACCCTTAAATTTAGACCGATATCACAACGATGTGATTGATTTTTCGATAAATCAATAAATAATTTTATAAGTATTTGCGTACTTTATATAAGTTGTATTACTATAAACTTTATAGGAATCTAAGTTGACTAATTAGGTAAGTAGACGTATTGATTTGTAGCCTAATCAGTCTATCAAAGACTGAGCAAAAATATTAGTATGCGTTGTCTATGATGAGATCAAGTGTAATAACGTTTACAATAAAATTTAGACCCATCTAACAAAACAACATCCATCAACAAGTCTTTGTTCTTGACCAAATCCAGCAAAAATGAATACATATTTAAATAAGAGTAAAACTAAAATATGAAATTCAAATCTGTATAATCCAAACGAATAATAATAATTATTACAGCATCAACAATTCAATTTCAAACAAACGAACCGGCCCATATTAATTTTCACCATCCTATTGTGATGCAGGAGTTCTTAAAAATTATGTAAGTAATAAGTAAGTATACGATTTTTAGTCAACAAGACTAATGAACAAACGATTAACGCGAATCTCTTCAAACAAACTACTACTACTACAACTTGCTCCCATAATAATCTCGAATCTGAATAAATAGAGGAAACAGAGAAGTGAAAAACAACATAGCAAAAGATTAGAAGTTAATAAGTAAATGGAAAATTTATCAATTTTGATCCATATCTTCGTCGTCCCCGATGTCGTCATTGTATAGCTCCAAATTTTCCTCATCTTGATCAATGGGTTGGCTCAGTGGCACTACAGCGGCATTGTCAATATTGGGCACTTGACGATCGTCTCGAGGGCGAGCTTGCGAATCGTCCTCATTGGAAGTCCCTGTACCGCTGTCAGAAGAGTATGCGGACAGTGCCATACTAGTTGAAGACGAGGCATGAGACGCATTTGTCAAAGATGGCATGTTCATGCAGGTTGCGTCAATCTGAAAATTAGCACTGTGTGAGCGAGCTCGTTGTTCTCTGTTTGGTTCTGATGGTACCAATCCCAGCCATGCACCCACCTCCAGCGAAAAGAAGAATGGATCTTCATCATCATCCTCGTCGTCAGTATTGTTGTTGGAGTCCATGTCGGCGGCCTCATTCAAATCCCGTTCTTCGTCTGAATTGGCATCATCCAACGCTGGCAACGCTTCTTGCACGTTTTCAAGAACAGCCATGGCTTGATTTGGAGCTTGAACCGGAAGAGCTGGAATTGGAGGAGCCTGAACCGGAGGAGTTTGAACCGGAGGAGCCTGAACCGAAGGACCTTGAACTGGGAGAGCTTGTACCGGAAGAGCCTGAACCGGAGGACTTTGAACTGGTAGAGCTTGTACCGGAAGAGCCTGAACTGGAGGAGCTTGAACTGGGAGAGCTTGTTGAGGAGCGATTTCGGCGTTACCATTCTCCACATGTCCGTCTGTAACATTTTGCTGGTGGGGAATTCTACAGAATAATAATAAACATAAGTTAGAAACAATCAATGCCATTAGTAAATTCATTTGGAATTCTATAAACTTACTGTGGATCATCATTGTTCATTTGTTGAACTGCTTGATTTTCAGGAGCAGGAGCAGGTGCAGGTGCAGGAGCAGCTTGATTAGCCCAGTCCCCACTATAATAAAATACACATGGCACATTTTGTAAGGTTGTAACAATAATATATGCAGCACTAAATGTACAAGTTTTCCAAATTAGAATTATTATTTTTATAGAGCTCACGCAGCATTTCCAGCATTGAAAGGCACAGCACAGACTGACACTGCGTTGACAATTCGACTCGACTGATGAGGAAGATGAAGATTTCTTTCTACCAACAATTCCCTAATGGCCGGCCTGATGAACTGGTCCATCGGAGATTTTGAGGGAGCCTGGACGGTCATGGCATACGCAAATGGTGGCTGATTGTACTCGTCAGGGAGGAGTGGTGCAGTTGGAGCTTGAGAAATAAATCCATCGGATTGGTCATGGTCGTTGGGGCCTCTTTCTCCCGAGGAGGATAGCAGCCGACTACGTTGGACATTGCGCTTATCTAAAACCATAACAAATTAAAGTCTTACTAAAATTTAACACCCGTGAGTGAACTCGGCACAATTATTATAATTGATTATGTGTTTTTGTACTTTTCCTACGTACGACCAGGTGCGCTATAATAAAGACGGCACCAATCAATCCAAGCAGGCTTAGGACTCCATAGATCCAAACTATAAAATTATCGCTGTCGTTGTCAAAATCTTCAGAATCCAAGTTGTTATCGGCAGCCTTTTCGAACTTGTGCAGGATTCCTGAACCAGGATTATCTGTAGTTATAATCGAAATGTAAGCAATTGCATCATCAAAAAAAACGCCTAGTTTTATTAACATGATTCAATTTTACCAAGAGTTTCATGATCTTCATCGGTGCAATGATCGCCAACTAATTTATATCTGTAAAAATAGCATCATTTGAATTGCGTATTTATTAATATTTTTAAATTTTAACCAGTAAACTTGATAGAAATTTCTTGTAATATCAATAATTAAATTGGAGAAAGGCCTTTAGTACTGGATAGGGGGACATTATTAATATTAATCCGTGATACATTCTTTCCAAACATGTCAAATAAATAAATGGTCCAAACTATTTAAAGAAAGTCAAAAGGTGAAATTTTTATGAATATACCGACTTCAGTAACTGGCATCATACTCACTATAAACATTTAAGCTTGTTTAAACTGAAGTCAAACCAAACCCCATTAACTTGACTTCTCTCTCATGGCACAATCAAGTGAATCACTCAGAAAACGTTAATGGTTCATGCTCGACGTTTTTCAGTTTGGTATCAAATTGCAATGTCATGCTTTTCTTTGGTGAAAAATAACAAATCAGCCCGTAGTTGGTCGTCAGTCCTTGTCTAGTTTGGTGAGAACTCTAACGAGTCTAACTTTGTGAAATACTTAAATATTCAATTAAAGTGAAGTAATACATAAATCAGTAAAATAAGTTATAGTTAGCATAACAAAAGAAATAATATTACTGTCTTATAGTGAAAGTGAGAAAGTTTCGTTGTACCAATTCACGCAGGTGTGGTATTATCTCCTTCACCACAAACTTACCCCATGTGACAACCCCCGCACTCGGACGATCCTCTAGCGCAGGCATTGTTCGGTGGGGGCAGTCTGTGTTGTTTTGGACAATCCACACAAGCAGAACAAACTCCAGTAGAACGACAGAACAGTTCCGGTGGACATTGGAAATCATTTTGACACTTCTAAAAAAAACATGTGAAGTGTCAAGTGTCACTTTATTAAAAACAAAACTGGATAGTAAAGAAACCGTCAAAAAAATTGTACTTACCACGGGAGGTGTCGGAGCTGCTTCCGCAAACACGATCATAGGCGAAGAAGTGGTTGTTGGGTTGCATGCCGACACTACGACAAGCTGTGGAAAAATCAAACAAGAATTACAGCATTATACCCTGATTACGATCGTTATGGGCTCTCCGGGTGGAGCCTAATAGGCAGAAACCAGCGCTCTTCCCCTCATTCTTTTCAGCAAACTGAGGAACGTGGCTGGTTTCTGCTTATTAGGCTCCACCCGGAGAGCCCATAATGATCGTAATCAGGGTATAGTCAAGCACATTTAAAAAAGATGAGTAATTTTATTTTACAGTTTAACTAACATGCTAATAATTCAAGAAATAAATTTCATTTTGCAAACATAATAGTACCATTCATAAATTATATACTAACTAAAAAAGTTTCATTCATGAAAAGCAATGCTGTACTCAATGCATAGTCCGTGTAACTCATTTCACACATTATCACCAGATTTGCTAAAGTTAGGCATATGTTAGGTTACATATTTAACAGCTTCTAGTTTTAATCATTTTCCTACTACTGACTCGTGCTACTGACTAGTATGGGTTATCAGATGATGTCTGACGCTTAATAAATTTTATCTCAATTAACATGCGTTAAAAGTAACGCTCTGATATATAAATATCGTGAACTTGCTTGTTTAGGTTAGAATCCATCCAGATAGATAAATATAAATATCTATCTGGATGCTGCATTCAAAACATTTTGCATATGTGATAATATGCAAAAAATGCAAACTGATGGACGGGTTAAATACATTAATAGGACTAATTCACCTTGCATACAAAAAGAAAAACAATATTCGATACGAAATTATAATGCACTTGTAGAGAGATTGACTGGTGACTCATAGTCACCCGACCGACGAGGACGGACGTCGTGACAGTAATAAAATGGAGGAGTTATCATGTATGTTATAGTCAATAAACTCCACTACTAACCAACCTACCTACCAACCAACCACATACACACAGTAAATGGGTCCCACATTTAGGATTAGTTAACTCTATTAAAATTGCGTCCGCCACCACAACCACTTCTATTATCAAACACACAAGTGACTGGCAACAAGTAAATAAATATGTGATGGATTTTGTAGGTGTCAAGTTGTCAAGCTCATCACCTTATTCCATCCATGTTAAATCATTCGTAATATTTTGTAATGAGCGACATTGGCAAATAAGTAATGGAGATGCTATTTAAAGTGAGATGATTGAGAGGCGGTGTTATATTTTTTTAGCAGAAAGCATCATAACTCAAGGATGGGCTTGGCTCCTACACAATGTATTTAAATAAATGCGAATGGAGAACAAATCTTCACAATCTCATCCATTTTAAGTTAATAAGCCGTGTTATGCCGATGTTAAGCTGTGCGAGCCGAGTGCTGCACAGTATCACCTCATCATCGGTCAAGTTCGTTGGTTAAAATTGTCATTCGTCTGGTACAGGCCCGACTTATTCAATTAGCATGTTTTACATTTAGTTCTGGCAGATTGAATCCGAGGTGTACACATACAAGTCAAATTATGAATGCAAAGCTGGATCAGAATTAGATCATAGATGCGAGAAATTCATGTATTAATTTTAAATATAAATTAAAAAATCTCAATGTTAATTACCACCACCAGAATGGCGAGAGCTACGAATGCCAGCTTTTTGAAGTCCATCTTGAACATGGTGACGATATCAGGGTCCATCCGTAGTTTCGCTTTGTAGTCGAGGGTGATGCAGAAAGTAGAATTTTTGGGATTCAACTCCTACGGTGTCAACGAGGGTCATCCGAGTCCTTTTCGTGTAGACAAACTATAATTTTTTATGGAAATTGAGATTAGAAAATTGCAAATTGTTATGCGAGATGGACGTTTTCCTCCCACCCCATAAAATTCCCTTCCAGCTTTTCCATCAAATAACAACTATAAAATTATTCTGCCCCGTGAGAGACCTAAATATTGTCGATGGCACCGGAGTGCACTACCTGATTTTACCACCTAAAATTTCGTAATTGTTAAAATCTACAAATAGCAATTACAATGGCAAATTAGTTTAGCAAATACAAATCTATGCAACAGCACTCGCACGCACGCACCGAAACATACATACGTTCCATAAACTTAACCAGAGCCGTACGGATGGTGGAGACGACTGGATAGTCGAATCCAGGCCGTACCGGCCGATAGGCCGTACCAGGGGGATCAACTTTACACTAGATAAAATGACAATTTTCAGAATTTTTCAAAATTTGAAAATTTTTGATTTTTTTTTAGTTTCAAGCTATAAAACAGTCGTATTTAAAATATGTAAGATTTTGTTCCGTGGATTTGCTGCCAGTATTGCGTCAAAGAAGTCTGCCAAGTACGAGTGTGCATCGTTACTTTGCCAGGGACTTTTTCAGTCAAGTGTATGAATACATAATCGGACACCTAATTCAAAATTCCTCAGAATGAAAAAATACGTGTTGCGTAATACGAACATATGTGGGGAAGGTTAACCAATTTTAAAAACATAAATGTTTGAACTTAATGGTGGCGACACTTGAGACGTATACTTCGCGATAATTTTTCTTTTGAAACTTTAACGTAGCCAAAAACTGTGCTTAAAAGATAACCATGAGAGCTTTCTCACCTGGATTTTTCTCAAAATCTCACTCGACCGATAAATTCATGAAACCAAAACTTTATTATTTATGGGCTAAAAATCCGCCACAGTCAACAAATAACTTTTTAAGGGCGCATTTTTAAGTTTGTTTAAGTTCTTGAAATCCTATCATTATTTATGCTTATGCTGATTTATGCTTATGCTTATGCTGATTTTTGCTTACTGACAATGCGATGACGCCAGCGGTCTCGATCCGATTTTGGCGAAAAAATACAGGTCCGCCTATTTCTGCATTTTCCTGAATGCGGGCGGTCTCAGTTGTGGCAGAATTTTTTAATAAATTTTCAGCCAAAATCAGGATTTTTAAAAATGCTGTTCCAATTTTGACCAGATTCCAAACATGAAAGAAACTTTTTGTATAAAAAGGTTCTTTCTTTGAAATTCTGTATACAGAATTACATTGATTAATTTAAGAAAAATCTAGTTTTCAAAAACTTATAAATTTTCAAAATTTCTAGTTTGTTGCATTTGGAAAAAATTTCAAAATTTTCAAAATTTGTGCGAGCAATTTGAAATCGACAAAATAACATTTCATGCCCACGCAGTTTAAGGTTAAACGAAATTATGATAAAATCCGTAAGCTAGTAATCTGTATTTTTCTCACAAGCTTGCGAGAAAAATATCCCGGTAAAAATCCAAATTCTCGCTCACTGATTCCGTCATAATTTCGTTTATACTGAGCATTTTGAAAAATCCTTCAACACGTGTTTAATTATTTATCTGATGCTAAATAATTATCGTGGTTTCGTCAAAATCGGAGCGAGACCGCTGGCGTCATAGGCTTGCAAGTACTACATACCAGTTTTAGTAAAAATTGCGCTTGAACTTCAATCTGCAAATCTATCAAATGAGATTAACTTGGGCAAAATCCTGGTGGCATAGTACTTGCATAAGATTACCGTGTTAGCCATTTTTTAGATATTTGAAATTGCAATTGTTGCATATTATAAAGAGATCCTACATAATTTTTCTCAGCGTGGTGTCCGTCATTTATTTTTCTGATTAGAAACAGGTAGACACTTAAATTGGTTATCAAAATTTTTCATGGGGTTTACAAGGTTTGAAATTAAAAGGCTTCAAATCAACTTCTAAAATTCATTGTTTTTTAAAATTTGGACTCTTCTAATCAGGAAAACATAAGCATGAAGAATAAGCTAAGACAGCTAATTATTTTCAGTCACGCATAGGTTATCAGCAGAATCGGTAAACGTGGTTAAAATATTCTGCTTGACCCTTAGAAAAGCGCTTAGATACATATTAAATTCAGCGTTAACTGTCGTATATCCGCCCAATATTATGGATTAATTAAACAAAAAATAATCCGTAAAATCATAGGCCGTACACAGCACAAGAAATCCAGGCCGTACAATGTTTAGCGACGGCTCTGAACTTAACATGTGGTTTCGTGTTGCCCTGATTAACCAATTCGGTTGTATTTTGTGATAAAAGCAAACTTGATGCATGAATCATCAATTTTAATAACAGATAATAACCATGAAATGCAATAGCAATTGAGATTGAACATGGCACAAAAAGATAAAAATGCAGTTTTGATCCTTTTAAACCCTATTGAATTTCAAAAATTTGTAAAACTACATACCTGTCAATGACGGACGAAATGAGCAAATTTTATTAGAACGATTTCAAATTATTGTGTCAATGTAGAGACTAGAACCATTTCCGAGTTCACCAAAATCTCGTAACCAACGTTTTTGTTAGTCCTCCACACCACTCTGATTGTAGTCTCACTTTGTAATGTACTTGTGCACTTTTTACTACCACCACTAACCAACAACTAATTATGATGAGACTGAGTCTTTAAAAGGATCCTCCTTGGTCGGCTGCTAGCTCCTAACTGAACAGATTTTGCCACCATCCACCTTGTTGGATAATTTGATGACATGCAAAGAATCGAGCAAGCAATGAGCACTGGCTGAGATAAATACATGCACATATATGAACCATGATTGAATCTGGTGTTGGTTGTTGATGCAAAGGGAGGATAGCGACAAAATACCAGCAAATAGGTAAATCAAAACTGGAAAGTCCATGATGTGTAGTGCTAATACTGCTAATAGGAAGGAGGTGGCATATTTCATTCCCTTTTATATCATAAAATCTCTCGAAATGGACTTTCAATTTTTTATCAAACGCAAAGTTCCATCTCCTAATCCTCGAGTTGTGCAATGATAACTTCAACTTGTCGGATGATTGGTGAAGGGGACATTGTTTCCACTGAATTTGCCAACGACGCACAAAGTTGCAATGCAAATAATATACATATCGTGAATGGAATCTCACCAGGAGTTGGATCGAAAGGGGTGGAAAGGTGAAGAAGGGGTAATAATGAGATTCAATGTTACAAGTGTTAAGGTTATCTGACTGACGAATAGCTTGGGCAGTTATGACCACGTTAAGTTTGTCGCCAGCTATCTCAACCCGTGTGCGTACGCGTTATTAAAGAAATATGTAATGACGTAGTGAAAGCATGCAAGTTAGATGAGATACAATGTCCCACTCCCTAAGTAAGAACTATGAAACTATTTACTGCGTCATATGTAACATGATGCCTAACATGATGTGCCGACTGCCTAATAAAATTTGAAATGGTATATTTGGAAGTTATGTCGTCATAAGATAATGACGTCGTTGTGGTTTTTGGTGTGTGTTGACTAGTGAAGTAATTAAGTCTAAACTGGATTGCCTGCGTAAACACTAAACTCAGGATTAACTAGTCTAACCTAACCCCGTGGTTTTTACCCATAATACTCTAATACTTTGGGTCAATATCAATGTAAATATGTAGAACAATCAGAACTTCATGAATGGTTTCATGAGCCGGTCACCTATCTGCTCATGAGAGGTGTAATTTTTGTCAGCATTTGTTATTCTACGTTACCTCATCCAAACAATATTACTGAAACATTTGAACAAATTATTATTCTAGTGTTTGCCAACAAGAATGATGCGATGATGGATAACCTAACATGACAACCACCGCACCATCGGTGGTGGTGGTGCAGATTTAACGTTGGTTATAAATTCAATACCTCAACAGAGTGAGTCGATTATACAAAAGAATACCAAGCTTATCATTTGCTCGGACAAAACAATGCGAAGATTACATGACACAACATAAAGTCAAAAATAAAATTATCAGAAAATTGACTTCCTTTCTGGAATGATTATAAAATGAAACTGCGACTTTGGCTCAAAGTCGTCAGAAATCTGATGGAATTAGTCAGTTAAGTACTTTTGTATATAATAAGGCTGCCTTTCATTTGAATGTTATGCATATTTCTGAGGAAAGAAAGATACAGAATAATGGCAATCCAAAATGCTTAGAGAAAGGCACAATAAGGTGGGGTGGGTTCTGCCGATAAGAGATTTTTATTGCTTTTCATTCCCTGTCTGAATAGTTACAGCGTTTGAACGTATTACAGAAATCGCCCTTGTTGAGTACAAATTCCATCCACTCACTGATCTGGACATATGAATATTAGTTAGTTAGTTGGTGGATGATGTCAGTGAATGAATCATTTTCCAGGTATTTCCGTTATCTGTTTATCTGCGCCGAGGTTGTTTTCCAGACAAATCGGATTTTTAAATTATTGGGCTTGATGCCCTTATCATTCAAGTCAATTTGGAAATGAAATATCAATACTACGAGTACAAAAAAAGATGCAAATCCTATTCATTTCTTATCTCTTCTTTGTGAGACAAAATGGATGGATAAATTCCATACGGGTTGTTAATACCAGAGAAGAAATGGCCTTATTATGCTCGGCAAATAACCCTGAACCCACCTCATCTACGCAATTAAATCAGTCAGGTCAAAAACTTATGAATATTTGATTTTACACGTTATTATGATAAAATGACGATGGTTATGTTATCCTTTGCTTATGAGGACATTGGGATATCAGTTATCACCTCAGTATGTCTGTCGCTCAGTAATAAGCAAACATAAATATAAATTGTGATATAGAACGAAAATCAGAGGGTGACTCAGACGCTCTCGTTGCAAGGACACTTTAGGCCAGAAAAAATATACAAATTATTTGTCTCACCTGGTCTCAATTGATTTGGCGCACTGCTTTCCTTACTGGTGAATAATTTATCGCACTATAATTTTGTAAAGGATATTGACTCTAGGAAAAGTGTAATAGATGATCCCACTCTTTGCTAAACATCATGATGAAAATAAAAATGTACATTTGGGTGATGTAATAATCTGCACATCGTGTAAGTAGGGAGGCGTTGTACCATGCTGTCTAACATGTAACATTCTGCATTACAGTAGAGTTGTTTTGCAAAAGAGAAACGAATCGGCTATCTCTGGAGCTAAATGATTTGACTCCTCATTTCTAACAATCAACACTCCTACATATTCAGTAACCAACCACCAACAACTGAGATAACGCTAAATTAATATGACACCGTATTTGAGGCAGTGATAGGACGCAGTACGGAGTTGATGCCTATGAGAACACCATTTCGCGAATGCAACGAGTTTGCAATGAAAAGTTCCATCATTTTATTCTCGTCCAATCGAGAACCTTCCACACTGAGGAATGACGTAACCCCTACAAATTCTTACAGCAGCAGTGCTAAACCAACGTATTTCAAAAGTGAAAGAGTTGAATATTACTCGAGTGGGATGCAGGAGCGTGGAGCGAGGGAGAAGACGGAGCAGGAAGGAGAAAGTAACTGGGGCAAGGATAACCTGTGGATGGGTTGAGTGGACCGCAGTGGAGACAGCATCATCACCAGCAACGCGACCACAGACGTTCAGCCACATCAGCATAAGAACTCTCTTTGTCTAAAATAAGCGATCTGCTAAACTCGCACATAACAATAACGAGTCAATGGTTACTTACTTCTTTGCTAAAATAAAACCATTTCACTCCCATATTGTAGCGAATAACATTATGTTTCGATGTCCACCTTCCCTACCTATCTATCTATTAAAAATAGTGTGGCGTGGTGTGAGTGAGTGATGAGAGGTCGCATTATTTTGCTGAAGTATATCTATATCTATCAAGTAAGTTGCAAATGTACAAGAGTGAACTGGAGTGGGGGATGGAAAAGTACCAAGACTTTGGTTGATAAAGCTTGAAATGTTCATATTGGAAGCTACAAAATGGCGGATGAGCACAAAGACGAAAAACGTTTTTTGGCCTTCGGTAGCTATCTTGTCCTGCTAACTATCTATCACTGCGGAACACTTTTGTAGATGGAGACGACGGCAGATGCATGTTTTACTCGAGTGCGATAACAATTACCTTTGCAAGAAAGAAACGATACTTTCCACTTCTTACTGCAATGCAATAACAGTTTCTTGTGCATGACTCATCTTTGTCCTTGTAAATGTTATGCTACTCTTCAAGCCACGCCAACAACAAAATGCAGGCGTTCTTACACAAAAAGGTAACCCAAGTCGCCATTTTGTCCTCTCCCTCCCCATGCACAAGTTGTTGACGTTATTATTGTTAATTGGTGCTGCGAGTGCTTTTACTACTACAGTAAGCAAGCGAATCATATATAAATTGCGCCTTAAATTAATTCGTACTATTATTTAGCCACTACAAACTACATGATTAAATGTGATCCTGATAAAACAAAACATTAAACTTTAAATAATATTATAACTTGACTTTTATGACAATCCTACTCGCAGATCTTGCACACTTTCTTCTTACCTCTTCATCTTACTTTCTTACCATTCATCCATTTTCCTCCAGACACGAGATATCAAAACCATCGATCAATCATACCGAACAATCTTACATCTCAAACACTATCAAAGCATTCAATATTGCAAACTAATGTTCTTCTACAACTTCATCTCAATAGCCCAAAGCTTAATCTAAATTAGTTGTGGCGACGACGACAATTAACATGGAATCCAGTCATGATAATGACGACGATGAAAGAGGAATAATAATAACGACGACTGACGGCAGACTAATATTATCAACCCCCCTTGATAGATAATACACCCTCATCAAACCCGACCCACCCTATGCCCTAGTACTCTTGACTGACTTCAGTGACGCCCCCTCCCTCCGCAAAGAAGAAGAAAGAAAGCAAAATTTGGCGTCCGCTCACCTTAATTACCATCCAATAAAAGCCTTATTTGACATCGACACATCAACCCTTTAACAACTTCTGCTACCGAGAGGGGGGGTTGAGTGGGTTCGGAACAAGAATTTTGTTACCGTCAAACAAAATTCAAATCTTAATTAAAGCACACCGTGAAATCGTGATCTGATTAACGCCGAGTGTGCTTTATTAAATTCCGTTTGTTATCCAGACGGGTGTGGGAAAGCCAGGGTTATCTCAGAATGGGATTATCTCGATCTTAGTCAACCAAACCAATCAAATGAGAATTAATTGGCTTAGTTTCAGCATCAGAATCCAGCTCTTCATTTGTTCAATCACAGATGGGAAGTAAGTAGTAGAAGTAATGGGGTTTTACACAGCAAGTCGAAATTATTGATTTTTTTTGTAAAATTGTTGGCTTTTTAAACCAAATGAAACATTTTTACTTACAGATACCGAAACTTATGTTCGTTGGATGCGGATATGGAGTGGTCACAGACAAAGAAAATCATGTTTGAACGTGAACTGTATTCCTGTCTCATACTCCAAGTCCTTGGGTGGGATTGTCTTGCTTTCTCCCCTTTTTGGCTTCAATTTGGGACTCTTTCTCTCTCTGATTGGACTTATAAAACGGGGTGGATCAACTTACATGAATATTTGTGGCATAATATTCAATCAGTTCTTGGGATTCCTGTAAAACAAAGGCAGTGGGAAGAGGAATAATTAAAACCTGTCAATGATTTTGGACACACAAGCTACACAACATTTACGAGCGCTCAACTAAACTACTTTCCCCCAGTAAAAATCGAATATAAATTGCAAACCCCAGTTATTAATTTAACGGAATCTGAAATCCAATCTTTAGGGTTTAATCAATATGAGATGGATAAACCCAAGAAAAAATCGGATGAATTTCCGTCTTCTCTGATAAATAAATACCCAGCACTGCAGCGCACAATAAATATGATCCAAATATGCAGATGCCTTTGTAATTCTTAATATTGGCTTATCATTGAATATTCCTCAAAAAGCGCGATCATCCAGCCTATTTGTACCTCCAATTAATGCACTTTCCCCACAGAAGAACCACAGCTACCCCTCAAACTTGGATCTCTCTATCTCTTTCGCATTTTATCGCATTGTATCATCGCTTCTTCAGAAAGAAACTCACGGCTTGAGTAGTATAAAAAATTATACGTTTTTTGACTGACATGGTCAATTTCTCAAACATATGCGATCGCGAGATATCATGGAACTAGCTGTATATAGTTCATCGTCTCAAAATCCCAATTCCCTTTCCCACCCTACGCGATTGTAAAAATTGGATGGTGAAAGACCGGTCCGGATATGTAAGCGCGCATATTTATAGCAGCAGCGCATCGCAATATTTTTAAAAACTTTAGGAATAGGTTTACTTACCAGCAATTCCAACAAGAGGCCAGCCAACATCCAGCAACAAATTTCTTCAGCAGAAGCAGCGACAGCAGAAGAAGAACCAGTAATCGTCGTCTTCTTCTCAACCAGGGCGACGTTTATATCACTAATTTTAATTTAATTATCAGTCTTTCTCTCTCCTCTTGTAACTAATTAATCACGAAGATCAACTCGCCATTTTAGTTTTTTCGGCTTCTAAAAATTAAAAAAGAAACACTTGTAACGTTTTCCTCAACTTTACTTTATGGAGGAGGAGGAGGATGATAACTCACTTATCGGAATAACAATCAGACTTATCAGGTGATGCAATATTATTTACTGCAGATAAGGTTGGGCGGCCGGGGAGGGAAAATATTAATTGGTTGCAGGCACATGTGGAAATTTTCCGGTGTGGATTGCAAAACGAGCGTCGGGCGAATGAGCTGAAGAAGACTGACTCCAAAAACGTTTTGGTCTTTATCTATTACTTGCAGCAGCGAGTGGTTTTGGTTGGTGGGTTTATTACGTTGGTAAGATATGGCCGGCTCTAATGCTGTTTTGAGACGAGAAAAATATATGGCAAGGATGCCTAAATACTTTGGGATCGTTTATAAATTATGCTGGAAAAGTCTAATTGTAAAAATTTTTACAAAATGTAAATATGAAATTATGGCAAATAATTTGAGGCAAAACTGGGTCACATTTTTCGACTATCATGATTTGAAACACCTAGATAATTTTGTGATGTAGTTTTTATGAAATACTAAATGGGTTAACACATTTTTTGTTAACTCTGGTAATAAAACTTGCTAGAATTATAGTGGTGCTTGATAAGTAAATTTACTATTATCTTATCTTGTTTCTAATTTGTATTTTTCGATTACTCGCTTTACATGGCATGAAATTCATGTACACCCTTCGATCATCAAATCTCAACATGATATCTCATGTCTCAAGTTCGTCTCAAGTTTTTGTTCCTTCTCCTTCCGTGCATGCTTTCTAGCAGAATCTCAACAGGTTGAAACTTGTTCTAAAATCCCTTCAACAAAGGGATTTATTGACAGAGGAGAGAAAAAGTACAAGTGGTGTGGGTGGAACTGGAGTAAAAGGGCCGTCCTCCCTTATTCTAAGGAACCAGCCTTCAAAAGGTAGTCTATAAGATGATGATGAGGTACTTAGCTTAAGGATATCTACTCGTTATAGGTCAGAATAAGGGTTCTCTTAGAATTTATCAAAACGTTTTGCTCTGACCCAAGCCAGAGAGAGAGTCATGACCACGTCCAAAATAGAATTTTTGAACCCTTACAGGGCCCCAAGTTCTGAAATCTAGGACACAGCTGCAGCTGCAGTGTTAAAAATTAGGATGATGAAATTATACAGCATATTATAAGCTATTTGTATTTTGTAGTCGCCTGTTAACATTATTACGAAACCGAAGTTTCATTCAACAACAAGATGACAAACAACTGGAGATGATATGAGATAGTAATTAGGAATAAGTAAATATATTTATTTATTTTAGTCTTCCCTACACGCTTAGCACATAGGATTAACGTTAATTAAGATAATCTGGTAATCGGTAGAATACACAACATCTATCAAGCCGACTAAATCCATCAATAAAACTATTTTAAAGGAGGAACAGAAATGAGACAACTTAAAAATAACTATGTTTTATGAAAACGTTTCATTGTCATTGCCTAAGGTATTATTCTCTGTATTCCGTTGACCATGCTAAAAATACCATAAAATTGTTTAGTTCAGTTGTCCAGTATAACTAAAAAATGAAAAGATGCATAAATATTGGTGAATATAAAAAACTTTTACACAAACTTTTACTTTTACATCAGTTTTATACGTCTTATAATTTACGGGCAAAATGTACTTATTGAATGTCAAGTACACAAAACTTGCCAACTAAATGCAATCAGGAAATGCAACCGTATTTAATTTCATTGCATCATGATTCATGATTATGCACCAAAATGCACCATGAATGTGGGTCAATGTCGAGGCATAAATCGCAAGTGCATGCAATGAGGATGAGTGCAGTGCATACATAAAATATATGCATTTAAGCACGCATATATGCGTTTAAATAAAATACATTTGCATTATTCATTGCAGTGATAACAAAATTCAGCCTAAGCCTGGCTTAAAACTTTGCGAAATGAGAGAGGAGTAGGATGTACGTGTATACATACATATGATAAGTGATGGTGAACTTTTTGTGGCCATGAACCAAGATTATATTACAGTGTGAACGGAATAATGATGAGTCTATTTTCAACAACGAATATGAGATTCTTCGTTACAGAAACACATTTGAAATATAAATTATACAACCTACGATGTTGGTATACATTTTTTTCCAGAATATTTCTGATGGTGATGATGTGAGATTTACATCGAAAGCTTAAATTAAATCAGTATTATTTGAGTAATATTCACATCTTCCAAAACTTATTCTACGAAATACACTGTTAATTTGATTTTAAGGACGAATGACTCATTCCCAAAGAATCTCATCAACAACATCTGCCCGAGGGTAAAGTAAAAGCTATGAGGATAGCAAAATAACAATGAAAAAGGACCAATCTTAACCTTCTAGTCTTAACCATCATGAACCATATTATGAAACAAACATCGAATTTTGACTTTCATGGCATGAAATTCATAGCAAGCATTACGACTTTACGAGAAAAGCGCATCAATTAAACTGATCGTCATACGACCTTGACTCTTCTCATCTTACTTTCAGTTAGCAGACACAGACGAAGAGTTGTTGACTTTCCTTCAACTTTATAAAACCTCGTAAAAAATTGCATCGTAAAAAAATACCTAAATCAACATGCATGGTTAAACCGGTGGTACAACAAGTACTTCACGTGTTATACGACCCAATCGTAAAATAATTTGAGAATGAGTATCATAATATTTTGCTTCTGTTCCAGTTGCACATGTTTATTATTTAAATCGTTACAGTAATAAGGTCCAGTAATAATTGTGTTGCAACAACAACTAACAATAATGCAGGTTAACTTAGCCACTATTTAACGAAAGTACAAGTGTGTATGCATATGCATTCCTACTTTATCCGTTCATAATACAAATTTAATTAAAATAGTGAATCGCATAATATATGTATGTATGGACTTAATTTTACTTACGCTCGATCTAGCTGATTATCGTTATCAATGACTAAACAACAGTTATAGGATTTTTTCACTCTTACAATCTGATACAAAACAGGAGAAATTTTCAATACAATTCAGTTTATGTTTTTTTCTCAAATTGAGTAGTGCATGATGGAAACCAGACAATCGAAATTGGAGTGGTACTTGAAATTTTACATTCGACCGATTCTAAAAAAAGGTAGATATTCTATGACAAATCTAACCTTAGGTTATCGATTTGCTTGCTTTTTTGTTTCATCACAGTGTTCTTCCTTAGAAGGATAAATTGCAACAATTTTCATAGTTGAATATAATCATCATCATAATAAATAAAACATAATTTTTGAATTTTAAAATACAAATCAAATAGTAGAATTTTTAGAAATTGTAAAGTTCAAAATAAAGCTATCTCGTTTATCACTATAAATCAAACTAATGGAATCAAATTTAGCAGTATGCGTTTTAAGAAACCTAAAATTTCTTAACCCAACCCGAGTACATACATAAATAATAACAAATGACTATTATTTATACGCTTTATCCACCAAGGTAATCAGCATTCTGATAGGGATTACTCCCTACATTGAACATTAATTATTATTAACTAGTTAACAAACAATAACTGTAAATCTAGCCTCTTAGTTTTTAATTGTCTATCGAAGATGATGATCCCACGGTTTTTTCAATAACAAAATGGAATCCCACTCATGACAAGAAAATAAAATTCAAGTTTTCTTCTTCAAAATTTACTTACTATAAATATGAACAGTAAGTACAGTTGTATAACAAGAAAATTTTGTGTGATAATTGTAGGCATTTGATGATGAGAAGTACATAATCACAATAACAAAGTAACCAGATAGATTGAATGAACATAATAATAACAATAATAAATGAGGTTTGTGTATTGCCTAATAAATATAATTCGTATCTAACTCATCCTTGGTCTTGATTTTGGTATTTGTTAATATTCGTGCACAATAATTAGCATTAGATAGGGCGATGATGCTGATGGTGATGACAATGTATCAAAAGTCTTCTAAAAATCTTTTAGTATTACACGGTTGTCCGGCTAGCCTTTCCTTTGACTATTGTAGGCCTATTTTTTAAAGACCCCTTCTTCTTCTTACTTGTCTACAAATGGGGAAATTTAACAAAACGTTACAGGCGACTGAGAAAATGTGATATTTTTGATTACATCAACAAACACTAACTTACTTTCTTAGTCAAAGCTGCCTTAGTTTTAATTTTTCTTGCACTTCTCGCAATTCTGGGTCGATTAAACTCCCAGGGTTTCTGGATAAATTAAAATTAAAGCAAATTAAATAGTGCATAATATTCATACGATTCTAGTCTACTATTGCGTAGATATAGAATATACACTACATATGTAACATAAACTCTTGTCTTTACCTTGACGCGGTAAATTCTGACCAACCAATGTTCTGTAATTGAAAAGACGAGTATAAATAATCTTATAATCAAAGTTCAAAGTATTACTAATAAACATCGAATGGAAACCAGTATAATAATTAAGCTGTATTTAACTATGTAAAGGTAAACTTACCTGATGTGTAAGCTTCTTCTAGATACGTTAGATCAATGTTTTTGTTGCCAATTACTGAATTCCTAGTTCTATCGAATCCTGTATGCCCACCGATCTGCAATAAACAAGGAAATATTTAATAAAATAACCAAAAATAGTTATCGCAGACGACAGTATTCTTATTCTATTGCACTCACCCTAACATCACCAAATCTGTAATACGATAATTTGTACATCAAACAGTTCAACATGGTTTGTGATGCCTCCTCATCAACTCTGTATTCTCCTTTGGCCGTAAAGTAATCAGCTTCCTGTAACACAAATAGGATCCATTAGCTTAGTATTTAATGTGCCATGTTGAAACTGATAAGAGTTTTAAAAAAATGTGTACCCGGATATCTTGGGGATGTTCCCCTTCTGCAATCCGAACCATCCACAAGAATTTGTTGATATCGTCTCCAGAGTATCCGATCAGACCACCAAAAATTACCAGTACGTAGTCAACATCAAGTTTTGTCATGATGTCGTATGCTTTTGGTTCCGTGCTGGACATGGCTTTTCCGACCTAATCACAATAACTCGAGTAATTTAAACCCGTATGTGATAAGAAATACAAACAATTTCTTATCTATACACTAACCAAAGCTATATGGCTATTGTTCCACGTATTGTTGTCGACCAGAGTTGTCCTATTTCCCATTCCTGCTATCTGATACCCATAATCCCACCACGACATGATTCGAGCGTTGTCATCCGTATTTTGCCACAGCCAAAAGTAGGCCTCCCGGAAGTCGTCAAGAATTTGTCTAAATATTGAAAAGTTAAATTAAAGAAATTAAATTACTTTATCATTATTTTTAGTACTAAAATAAACAGTAACCACAATACACACCTCCCATTCTGATCATACGTAGCCAACACCACACTAGGACTAGAATATGCATTCGAAGTGACCCATGTGCAATGGACGACGAACAACAAAATGATGAACAGTGCTGCGATGAGAACTATGATTCGTAGATTTCCACCAATTGAATTTTCATCCTTGTTCTGCTCATGTGGCATTTTGCGAACTTTCCCAGCCTGTCAAAAATCATTGTTAAAAATTTATTATTAACTCGCAAACGGAATTAGTCGAGTAGTTGACATATTTTCGTAATTAATTACCTCATCATATAGATTATCATTCTTTCCAGATTGATCTGCTTGTGGATTTTCGTCATCTTTCAGGTACCTAAGAAAAAAACACGCATTAAAACAAAGTTCGACTGGGAACCAAGTGATTAAAACTCAATATTTTGCATACTTCCAAATACGACTAAATATGTATATATTTCTGGGTTATATGAATTTAATAATTATTATATAATTTTACCTTTCAAACATTGACGAGAACGCAATGGCACTGAGTACGCACACGACGGGAGTTAGAGTCAAAATCAGACTAAAGACGAAATAAATAAATATTTAGCATCTATGCATTTATACCTACTCGCTCACTCTTAACAAGTAATAATAAAATAAATCTTAAACTAACCGAACCATGACTCCAGCAAAGTAAGCAGCAAACAAGGCGTAGAGCACAACTATTATTTAAAACAAAGTTCATTTGTAGATCAAGTTATTAGATAATTAATGCTTTTCTGAATTGAGTCAACTTACTGAAAACTCGTTCATCATTGATCTTCTTGATGCAAAACCATATTCCGACTGGGAATGTGCACACTAAAATGTGCAAGTCGAAGAACATGGAAAACCATGTAGTTGGTTGATGCTGAAAATAAACAGGAAATTAGGTCCGTGTTACGTCTTGATCACACCTAGATAATTGTATGCAAAAAATAAGTACTTACCTCACTGACTGACGCAATGATAGGAATATGAATCTTGGCATATCCAGTGTCCCACAAGGAGTAAAACCGTCCACTCCATGGCGCAATAACACCGGCATAGGTCAATCCAACGACGGCTGCGAAAACGATAGCTGCAGCAGCGACTCCAGCGATTAGAAAGAAATGCCTGAATTCTTGCTTGCTCAAAAACCGTTGCAAGTACTTCAAGAATGCAACTGCATTTAGCAACGCGAATACTCCTACAAATTAGAAATACCGTCAAATATTTCATGTTGTAATATGCACTGTTGTGCATGATTTAAAACAAAATTTTCTACAGGTATCTGGTATATTACCAACTGCAGCCATGTGCTCGCTTGTGCGTACTGGTTGAAAGCCCACTATGATTAAGATTAATTCATTTATGAGTTCTTAGGATATGTTCTCCGTCTCCGTCAAATCAACCTTACTCATGCCACCCCAAAAACTTACCAAATGGAATTTGCATACTCAATATTAATCCAAGAATGAAGAAAGTAGTGTACGCAGTGTAGATTCGATGAGAAAATCGTCCCATCAAAAGCAGAACGAAGACGTGGAGGGGAATCAAGTTGATAATGAACACGTAACCACCCCAAGCCGAAACCTAATACATTAATTTCACATGTCAAATTTAGATTGTATTATCCATTTGCTTTTTATCAAATAAATTATTACTTATGAGATATTATTTACCATGTAGAAGTAGGAAAGTGCAGTTAATACGGCCCATGAGACGGATCCCGTCTTGACAGACTTGACCCAGAAGAAGTACGTTAGTTGCAAGGCAAAAATGGCGATGCCTAGTTAGAGCAGAAAGTGTAATTAGTCCATCATCTATCATGCCGATTAAATTTTCATTCTTACCTTCATTATCGTAAGATCCAGCCACTGATCGACTGATGTAACCTGCAAAAATTGAGTATATTAAAACTCGCCCACCAGGTGATATGTACATATTTCCATCATTTTAATTTTTTCTTGCCTGGTACGATGGCGATGAAACTTGCAGCAAATAGGCCGGCGCCTGGGGACCAAATCTCTTTTGTCAAGAAATAGGTTGCAATTGCAGTCAGCCCGCTGTAACAAAATAAGTTGAGTTAAAAATAATGTCAAAGAACTTCAATACTCTAATCAATCTAAACCTCCTTTTCATAGTACAAGTCTTAATGAGCTATTATTTATTATAATAATCTGTCCCTTTTCTATCCTGAGTAGTCTGGAATTGTGAATTTATCGCTACCACTCTGGCAAGTAAAAGAAATCAATTTTGCACACATGTAGAAGCCACAATTCATTCAATTTGAAATTGACTTTATAATGCAAGTGTGCAAACATATTGTTAACAAATCTTAATGGGTTACCTGAACACAGGGGCGAGGAATACACAAATTTCTCTAATGTGGACAGGAATGTTGAGCAGTGACAGGATGTAATGGATCGTCCCCGACGTGACCATCAACCCTGGATAAACAGTACTAAAAGAAAATAATAACAAAGATTATTAACACTATATATTAAGATTAAGATTAATTCAAGTACTAATATTTCACTTACCCCCCCACAATACGTCCTACAAGAAATATTTCATACATAAGTTGCGTGAAAACAAATCAAGGCGATTCATTATGTAAATTACGTACCTAACGGGTACCATGCACGGTCATCAAACCAATTAAGAAAATTGTAGAATCCATGCTCCACCATATGCGCTAAAAAATATATACATTTATACGTTTATATACAGAATTATGTATTCCGCACTCAGTCTCATATTTTTCTTAATACGGGACGGTATGGCTTGGACAAAACGGATAACGGTGGGAAACATTTAACTTCTCTAGAGAGAAGTAAAGAGCTTTACTTCTCATTCTCAAATAGCAGTAGCAACAACTTATTTTTTGTGTTACACTTTGAACTTTAGTTTTTTTTTGGATAAAAATGGAGGGGGACGAGTCATATTCGGACGACGACGATTTCGTCACTACACAGAAGAGGACAAGGCGGAGGTCGACACAAAAAGTGGTTGAAAAAAACGCTACATCCACCAAGACTGGTACACCTCATCCTAGCAAACATTTGGTCGTGGAGACTACGAGAGCCGAGAACTGTGACGAAGGGGATTTAAATCCCCGTGGTACGAAGGATACAGAGAAGAGAAAGTCGGAAACCGCTACAAGTCTTGCCCGTAAAGACCAGACTTTCCAACCCGTCCCGTGGTCATACATTCTTGATGAGGAGATGGAAGTGAAGGTGGAAGAGAGGCGACTAAGGGATGGCAGGGGGATTATTCGTAGAGATGTGGAATTGTCTGAAGAGTTCCAAATAAAGTATACAGGTTCGTCAGATACGAAAATTGGCAAAACGGTCAAAGGTAATATACTAATTACCACATGATAATGATTTGCGCACCCTATATACTAATGTTATCATGTTAAGTAGGTGAAGGGGTCGATCTAATCAAGACGACGATTCTGCGGTTAGTTGGATTAGCGCAGACTGAAACCAACTCGCCTGACCTCGATATTTTTGAAGCGTCCCCAGAACTAGTTTCGACCCAAGAGGAACAGGGATTGACTGCTGGACAGAGGGAGATTCTCCGCAGAGGAGGTCGTGTTGACGTTGTAGACAAGCCGGGATGGTTTTTAATTATTCACAAGGCCCCCACCACCGGATTAATTCATTTGTGTTTGGAAACACCAAGAAAAATCAAAGGAAAATGGGCCTATGGAGCTTTAAGGCTTTGTACGAAGCCAAGTAAGCATAATTAAGATGTATACATGTCGTATCTTTGATATACATTTACATAATGTGTCATTCTTATTAATTAGAATGTTACCAGTACAATTCAACTCTTTCAAATGATGTGTTTCCCAAATGTTCTCAACATCAACCCTATTCCTTTTACACCGTGGTGAAAGTGACTGATTACAATCGAAGGGACGTGTTGGTGTTTCAACACATGAAGTGTACACTCTCTGTAGCGCCTAATGCATCCAATCAGAAGAAAGATGAGGAGAGCGAATTATATATAAATCAATCTTGTTCCTCTTATACGGGGTGGAAAAAGTATTGTGCTACAAAGGGCCTGAAAATTCCACCAATGCCAAAAATCATATCTAGTCACCACTTTGACAAGGAAGAGGAGGCTCTAAAGATGCTGTCATTTGAATCGGTTAGTGAAATGGTATCGAACATAATGACTTGAATAATGATTTTCTTATTATTAGACCATCGGTATGTTTATGAAACTCGGCTCCGGATCTCAACCCATTATCAATTTGGATGAATTCACCCCATTGTGTTACGGAATGGAGAATGAGATCGATGAGCGACTAAAGGAGTTGGGGATGGAGCTCAAGATTCGTCGTCATTTGTCCAAAGAAGAGAGGGCGGAGATCAAGTACCCGTTTCTTGGGGAATATTTATTTGGAACAGCAGCAGCAGCATTACAAAAGCCTGAGAAAGGGAAAACTTTTTTGTATACCATCATGAGTCGGAATATGTGGTATTTTGGGTTGTCTGATACCCCCGATTTCAAGGGCCGCTTAGAGGTAAGAGGGGGGACTGATGGTGCTAGAGAGTACAAACGTATAACAGAAAAGAGACAGAAGGATAGGGAGATAGAAATAGAAGGATTGAAACAGAGAAATAGAGAGTTAGGTAGAGCAGAGGAGTTATGTGTCTATCCACCCCCACTTAAGGCTCCCACCATGACCCCCTACCTTATCGCCAAGTGTGAGGATGAAGATAAGAAGAAAATCAAGACCAAGACCATAGAAGCAAAAATGATAATTGCTGGATATGTTGCATATTTGTTGGGATTGCGTAATCCTATTCGTCCTAATTCTGATGTAGGTTACTCAACTAATAAGTGTGTTTGTTTAAGTTTAGTTGATTCTACTTCATGGGGCGAGATTTGTGAATTTGTCAAGTTGTTCTGGGGATTTGAACCAATGTTGGCGAAGTATGAGATAAGTTAAAGTATGCTGAGATTTTTTGTAAAATACATACATAAATTAAATAAATTAAATACGTTTTACCTGTCGCTCGGTAGTTAAACCTTAACAATTAATTAAGTAACAACATTTTAAGCATTCGTCTTTTGTACATGTTATTATTACTGATACTCATCATATCGTTACTCCTAGTTCCTCACCAAGGGTCAAACTCGTGAATAATACTCTCAAACCGGATGACTGAAAAGAGTCGCGACAAGAAGCCGGTAAGCCATGCGATCGTCAACACTGCGAACGTGATAAGACTCAAGGATCCGAGGTACTTGCTGTTCGCCGCCGCTACCAATTGTGGTTTTCCTCCACCCCCATTTTCTGACCGGTGTTGCTGTTTCTTTTCCTTACTACTACCGCTGGAACCTCCTCCTCCTGCCATCCTGAAGCTGTTCTGTCCAACATAAGTAAAAAGATACATGTCAGTTTCATTTCATGCATCAACAACAATAATAAACACCTCGCCATACATTAATACTTGTCCAATTAGTTAATTATTAAGTAATTCGTATGTTTATTACCTTCCACTCGTACTTTTCCCAAAATTTGCGGTTTTTCTGCGGTTCTTCTGCAACCGGCTGTAACGGTGTTATTTCCCCCGTACAACTCACCTGTCCCCTGACCGTACAAAGGGGATATTGTTTTGAGAGAACAAGAACAAGAGTTTGTTCTTATGCCTTCTTACTGCTGGAGTTTTGAGTTGACAGATTCCACGTAGTCCGATTTGACTCGACCGGAGAGTAGAGGGGCTGCTCTCCAAAGTTATTATGCAAATTCAACCCGCGAGCTTTTTCCTCTTCCAGGCAACACCTCTAGATGGCCGGGGAGCCCAACTCGTCCCAAATTGACCAGTTTTCCAGAAAATCTCATCTTCTCAACTTTTATCAATTATCATCATCACCTTCGTGACGAAGGATTCGTCTCAAAATTGCAATTTAGTTAGATACGATTGCAAAAATGGTGTCAAAAATTGTCATGATTGTCCACAATCATGCTTAAAAATGGACTACTTTTAAAAAATTTGTCACATTTATTAACTTTTTGTTGTCGATAATTTCAACGTTACGAAATCCTTACACCTTTTTTTTATGCCGGTTTGTATAATAATAAATCAACCCGAGAGTAGCTCGAGTTCAGTTATAACGACCAAACTTATTATTATTGTGAACGTGCATTGTACTTACACGAGAAGAACCACTTACTTACTCTAGTTAAAACCCGTCCAATTTATCCAAGCTATGTGTTATCGCATAATAATATTGATAAAGGATGGATACGAGGACATAATGTTCACGACTCGAGTGAGTTGGGTTGAGACATGTACTTATTACGTACGATGGAATATGGATGCTTGGCATTATTATTAGGGATGGAATTTACGTGTTATTCATACATATGCCGAATAATAAAGTTCTGCTTTGCTGGATGGATTGGATGATGGTGTGTTTTTTGGAGGAGTGGGTGTTCATACCAATTTTGTAATGGGAACGAACAACATCGAAAATAAAGGATATTTGGAATAATATAGAGTTTGAGAGGTATAAAAACTTCCTGTTCCGTGGTGAAAGTTAGCGGAGGACAATAAATTCACAAGTCTCAAATTCCCACTAATCATGTTTGCGAAAAAAAGTTGGAGCAGGTTTAGCGAATAATATGTACGTCAACAGTTAGTTAACTCCATTGTTACTGTGAAGTGTGTAAAAACTAAGTTTACTATAAAGGCTGTGATTAAGACTCTTGTGACAAAATGGGGGATGACGAATTGAACTTTGACCTGAACAAGGATGACGAAATTTGGGGAATAGGACTAGGAAAACCGTTCAGACTGGAACTTAATGAAAATCTGTTGATCAAGAAAGGTATGTTTTTCTAATTTAATTAGTGGTGCATAACAATCGTAGTTGACACAAACGACATGTTTACTGGGAAGTTGCTCACATTTTGTCTGCTTTTCGATTCCTGATACATATGTACGTAATGAATTCTGTCGCGTTCCTGTCCCCATTAACCCGTTATGATTAACGAACAAAGCTAATAGGAAACGGGAAATGCAAACACGTGTTGAATGAGCATTATGCATATTGATTATTGGATAAATCGAAATGTAGTACATTGATAGTCGGGTTATGTAACCGTTTTAGTGTTCAAGCTTATTTTTTTCTTATGCTTCTACTGCGTAGCGTATCTATGTCCAATACATATGCAGTGTTTATTACAGGCTATTGATTCCCCATTTTGAATCAAAACATTGCAAAAGAAAGCTTGACCGTATCATGATGAGTCACTTTTGTTTTGTTCACTAGTGTCCAATTTATTACGCTGTTGTTTCTGCCTGCCTTATCCGTTGCCAGAAGGCAAGGTAATAACCGAAAAGGCACGTACATCGTAAAAACGGCAAATTAATGCTCCGATTAATGAGGTAACAACCAGAACAACGCAAAACCAAAGTGATGCATAGTACATAATTAGATCAAGGACCCCGTGATTTGGATACAGCTATAAACTCTACAGTATTTTCAGCTTTAATTATTATTCGCCCTCATTTTAACTCGTACAGCAATTTTTCTTGGTCGACAAGTAGACATTTGTGTTCGGTTCGGAGTAATGTCAAAAGATAGAAAGCTTTGTATCTTACGATGGAGGTCTCCAAACGTATGCTCTCCGATTTTGACAAGTTAGATGAAATTTTCAAGAGAAATTGTCTCTTAACCACTTCACCCCTGAGAGACGCATATTTTCATACCTTTCACCCCTAGCAACCACGAATTTTTACTTCCCTTGACCCCGCAATTTTCACCTACTGCATGACGTTAATTACTGGGAGATCAATTTAAAAATGGTGTTCCTACCTGAATTATTCTGGACACTTTTTTATGAAAGTTGATGCGAATAACCATTTTGGCACGGATATTGAGCCGTAATTTGCATCTTTGCGTTTTTGTGAACCACTAATATTTATAGCCGAAAATAGCCAACCCGCCGAATTTTGAAAATGATTGTAATCCCATGGATAGTTAGACAGACATGGAGTAACACTTGCATAATAATACATAAATTCGCAAAAATCGATTATCGCGCCTCAAGCGCCCCAGAAGTAGATTTGGGCGGGAAAATTAAACTTCGCAAATATTGCTCTCAATTCTTGACATACAATATACAGGCCATAATTATAGCATCAACTGTTCGAAATCGACTTTAGCGCATTTGGTGTATATAACTCAATTCTAAGGAAAATTAATTGCTATTAACCAGTTGCCTCCCAAGCACATGAATGTCATGTGGCGCACAAACCGTCGCTAAGGGCCCAAGTACATCAAAGTCATGTGCTCCTTGAACGGTAACCATGCGCCCAAATACATCAAAGTCGTGTGCTCCGACTGCGGTAACCATGCGCCCAAGCACATCAATGTCATGTAATTCCAAAAACAAAATTTTCCTCCCGAGCACATCAAAGTCGTGTAATTCCAAAATAAATTCTGTGCAAATTTCTAAATAGCTGTAGTTTTTTTTGGAGCTTGTATATTACAATTGTATAGCTCTTCAGGCATGTCTGGTAAGTATTTATCATCGACAAGCATATATATAAATATATATCCAATTTTCTCACACTTGAAAATACGACAGACAGTGAAGACGACGAATTTTCCTTGGGTCAGTTCTCACATTGCGACTCCGATGAGGAATTCTTGCTACATGAACACAACGACGACGATGACGAGAACATGATCAACTTTCCGGAAGATGAAGATGAAGAAGGCGCGGATGTAGATTCTGAGGACGAGTTGGGTGACCTCGATGAACACCCCGATGTACGTATATTATTTGTACATATGTATATTCCTAAATAATTTTATTTTCCCCAAATTGATTCATATTTCAGACTAATGTTATCCGCTACCGTAAAAATGTCCCATTTTCACCACAAGTTAGTGATTATGAGGATCCAGGGGAATTTCTAAAGCCGGATTTTGGGATCACGATGGAATCTACTGCTCTAGAGATTCTACAAAAATTCTTGGACCCCGAAATTTTGGATGAAATTGTCCTTCAGACCAATGTTTATGTTCAACAACAAAGACGGGCGAATCGAAATACAATGAAGGATTGGTCTCCAGTGAATGGGGAAGAAATATGGCAATTCTTCTCTCTGGTGATGATGATGGGGCTGGTTATCAAGCCGGAGATCAAGGACTACTGGTCCACAGACTCGATGTTTTCTACCCCATTTTTCGGTCAGGTCATGTCAAGGAATAGGTATATACAACAATAAAATACAATAAATACTTATGTACACTAGTTATCATACCTATTTGCCTACTAGATTTGAGTCAATCCTTCGGGGATTCCATCTTGTGGATAATGACACCGTCCCACCCAACAATAAAGATCGGTATATAAAGTTTGGGAGTTTTATGGACAAGTTATTCCAAAATTTCCGCAAAGCAATAAATTTGGGATCATTTCTCACGGTGGATGAAACTTTGCTCTCGTTCAAAGGGAGGTTATCTTTCAAGCAGTATTTAAAAGACAAGAGAGCCAGATTTGGAATGAAGCTATATCTCCTCTGCGATTCGGCTAGCAGATTTGTCCTCAAAGCTCTTCCTTACCAAGGAAGAACTACCAAAATAGAGAATTCAAGCTGGATTCAAGAACTTGGATTTGGTGGCGCTACTGTGATGACTCTTCTTCATGGCTATTTTAACAAATTTCATAGAATCACTATCGACAATTGGTTCGTGTCTCCGATCTTGGCATTGCGATTGAAGCAACTTGGTACGTACATACTTGGCACCGTACAGAAAAGAAGAAAGCTGATGCCAAAATGGACGGACAAATTAGCAAAGGGACAAGTTGCGACTTATTCTTCTTCAGACATTTTAGTGGAACGGTACGTTTTTGTAAATTTACCAATAAAACAATACAATAAACCGGATGTCAAATTTTCAGCAGAATGACGTGAAGAATTTCATTTCATGATTTTTAGGTGGTCTGACCGGAGAGAAGTGATAATGCTGAACACATTTATGGGACACCGAATGGAAGAAATCACAACCACAAACCCCAACAACAACCGAGAGAAACCATCAACTGTTCTCGTTTATAATGCGACAATGGGCGCTGTGGATAACGTCGACAGAGTCACCAAGCCATTCACATCTGTCCGCAAATCCTTCAAATGGTACAGGAAAGTATTCTTCTACTTCTTGGACATAGCAATTTACAATTCTCACATCATTCACTCTTCTTTCCGGCCAACGAAGGAACACTCAAGTTATAAAGATTTTGTACGAATTATAATCAAAGAAATATTAGAAAAATATCCACCACAACGTCTATCATTGGGGAGGAAGTCCAACACCCAGTCGGAACGGCGAATCGGCACCCACTTTCCAGAAAAGATGTTAGAAGATAATGTCTCCGTCTTCCGGGATTGCCACCTATGCTGTTTGGAAGGCAAAAGGCGCACCACAGCTTTCAGATGTGAAACGTGTCTGAAGTTTTTCTGCATAAAGAGCACAGACTCGTGTTTCAAGAGATTTCACACGCTTTCGAAATTACCCGTCAAAAGGAAGCGATCTAACGCCAATGCATCTTCAGCATCGACGAGTCAAAGCATTATGTACCAATCAGTACCTCGGTCTGAAACTTACTCTGAAATTGGATTAGGATTCGGTGAGGCGAATGAAGTGAGATTTCAACAAGCGGATTTTGAATCAAATGTTGTAGTAATGGAGAAGGAGGAAGAACTGTTTTCC